GAGAGAGAGAGGGAGGGAGGGAGTGACGGAGAAAGACGCAACGTGGGGACCCTACAAAACCAGTCGGTTGGGCACGCCGCCACTGCTGAAGCCGCTGCTGTTGTTACAGTCAAAGACGCCGCGCCCGCTGGCCCTCGTCCAGGACGCGTCGCAATCATCCTTGAGGCCACCGCGCTGCGGGCTCGGAGGCTCTACGACCAGCCGAGGCGGGCGCAGCGTGGCGTTGCTGCTCTTGGCGTACGTGTCGAGCCGCGTCTGCGCCTGCGCCCAGCCATACATGACGTCGAGCTCCGACGACGCCGAAGCGGGTGCCACGACCGTCGGCCCATCGTACTTGGTCGGAGACGTCTGCGGCGTCGTCAACGCAGAGCTGCACGCCGAAGACGCCGATGAAGAGGGCGACGACGACGATGCTTGGTGCGCATAGCTCGCAGCGAAGCCCGAATGCGACGGCGAAGGGAGGTCGACGTAGCCCGACCAGCCGCCGCCGAGGGGCGAAGGCGAGGAGGGAGAGGCGGGTTGGAACACGTCCCACGACGACGACACCGCCGCAGACGATGCCGACGAGGTGCGCACGAGCGACAACGGCCTCGAGCGAGTGGGCGCCGGGTACTGCGGGTATTGCTGCTGATGCTGGTGGAAGTGCTGATGCTGCTGCACCTGCGGCTGCTGTTGTTGGTGGTGGCGGATGGACTTGGCGGCGCTGCTTACGGGCGACGGGGTGTACGCGGCCCAGCAGTCCGACGCCGGCCGGCTCGCGAGCGAATCCAGCGACCTGCGACCCCATCCATCGCCCCCGCTCATGGCAACGCCGCCGATGGTGGCAGGCGCCGCCGAGGACAAGCCGTAGGCGGCAAAGTCGGACGGAAGCATCGACGTCGGCGTCGAGGGCGACGTGGGAGAGTAGGGCAGCGAATCGAGGCCGCCACCCATGCTGGCGCGCACCAGCGCCTCGCGTTCCCGCCGGCGGGCAAGCCTCTTGCGCTTCTCCTGGCTCATCCTGGCGCGGCCCTTCTTCTTGCCGTCGGCACCAATAGCACCGGCCGCCTCCGAGTCGGTGCCAAAGGTCGAGTCGGCGGGAGAGAGGGGGCTCGTCGGGCTCGGCGGGCTGCCAGCGCAGGCATTTTGGTCATGGCGGCCAGGAAGGATCAGCCGGCTTGGCAGACCGGGCAACCGCCGAGCGTCGGCAGCGTGGCAATGCTGGCCTACAGCGCGAAGATGGCCTTCATCGTCGTCAGCCTCGTTCTCGTCGTCGCCATCGTCGAGGCAGGAGAAGATCGACAGGGCCGAGGTCACTGCGGTTCGGGCCGTGTTGATCTCGCAGGCCAAGGTGCGGTCGGTGCCCTGGAGATGATGCAGCGCCTCGGCGCTGTCAAAGGGCCGCATGATTGGCTGCTCTTCGCCGCCGGAAGCCGCCATCGTGGTGCGAGAGAGGGGCGAAGGTGGTAGCGGCGATGCCGAGGAAGCGGCTTGGCGAAAGGTGGTCGTCGTAGGCGGGCACGAGAGGGGACCGTTCGAGGCGCGGTCGAGCTGCAAGAGAGGCATCTCGAGGACAAGCGAGAGGACGTTGATGTCGACTTCGGAACGCGGCGTCTCGGCGCTGGTGCGGCGCGAGCCGATGGCGCCGAGGGTGGATGCCGAGCGCGGCGCTGGGATCGAGCAGCTCGATGCATGCACCGAGGCGAGCGGGGCGTGCTCCACGAGGGTGGCTCCCTGCTTGCTAGCCCGGCGACGCTCCCAGAGCGACGAAGTGGCCGGGCTGCTCGGGGCACCAAATGTGGCAAAGGATGCGGCCGAGGAGAACGACATGCTGGACGGCTTATGCTCGGCTTGTGGGCTGTTTGAGGGGAGCGCGGCGTGATCTACGACGATCCGATGGGGCGTCTGGTGGGCCGATGGACAAGGCGGTGGCGGACGAGGCTGGAGCAGTATGCTTTTCGACACGGTGGCGTTGCTTCTGCCTTGCTCTGACTGATTGGCAGACGAGGTCGAGAGGTTTGCTGTTAGTCGCGGCGGCTTCGGTCAGAGGTGGCTTTTGTGGCAACACAAGTGGAAAGCGGTTCAGAGAGCGAAGTGGAAAATGGCCGGCAGTCTGAGGGAGCGAAGATGGACGAGGGCGAGATGATCGAGTCGAAGGGCAGCGAACGAATGCGGTCGAGGTCAAGGCTGAGGGGGGTATCCGGGCGATGCTACAGTATGCTGGGCCGTGCGGTGGGACTCGACGAGACTCTAGCTGGTTCGCAGATGGCTCCTGGCGTTGGAGCTGGAGGGGCTTCGGTGGTGATGGTGATGGCGATAGGGTGGCGCTGCTGCAACTGACGGTGCTGCGGCGACGATGATGCAGAGGGACGAGACTGCGAGCGTAGTATTGAAGGAAGGATCGGTTCGAGATGTTGGAAAGGGGAAGTTGGAGGAGCCAGAGTAGTGGTGGGAAGGGCAAGTGCGGGGAGGGAGCGAGAGAGGCGGAAAAGGGGTGGGCGTGCCAAGGACTGAGGGTAATAAACGAAGCCGGGGTTTGATGAGAGACAAGAGGCAGGATGGTGGACGGCCGTAGATGGTGGAGAAGACAAGGAGACGGCCCCTGGTAGGTAGCAGCAGCAAGGGGGCCCGCGGAGAGGGACAAGGAGGGAGGAGAGGACGGAGGTAGGAAGAGGAGGCAGGCCCAATCCAGTCTTAGCCTGGCAGGGCATGGCAGGGCATGGCAAAGCAGTCAGGCAGTCAGGCAGGCAGGCAGGCAGGCAGGCAGGCAGGCAGGCAGGCAGGCAGGCCTCGCCGAGCCAGCTCGCCGACTGACCTGCAGACTCTGCCTGCTGCCTGCCGTTTTGATGCCGGAGACAAGAATCTCGCTGTACCCTGCCCTGCCAGGGCCTCGCCCGCCGCAACCCTCCAGCCCACAGCCGCCGGGCTGCTGGTGGTCCCGGCCTACGATGAGAGCACATACCGTCGAGTCGAGGTGCTGCGCGGTACGGTGCGATGCTGCCTGCCTGTCTCCCTGGGCGATCCAAGCCAAGGCATCCTGCTGGGCACCCGCCGGGCTGATGCGGCTGCAATCACAAAATGGCATCGACAGATAGCCTACGTCGTGCCATGGGCCCCGACAGCTGGATTGACCCCGGTAGGTCGGGTGCGTCGAGGCGAGGCGAGGGCCCGAGGCGGGCGAGGGCCAGGCTAGGCTAGCAGGAATGGACATGGCCTCGCGTCCAGGCAGCGCCCCGGTCCTGGCCTAAAGGCACGCGCCCCCTTTGGGAAGCGGGCTCGCGCGGGGCATACGCACGCCTGTCGCAATCGCCTGGCCATCTCCTCTCTCGTTTCTGGCAAGGGCCGCCAGGAAAGCTTCGCTCCGTCGTCGTCGTCGTCGTCGTCGTCTCACCGTGCATGATGGTTTAGAAGCGCTCGCCAAGTTCGGCGGTACGTTACGCTTCGTGCTGGCCTCTTGGTACGCCGGAGGCCAGGCAGGCAGTAGTGTATGTACGTACGTGTTTGTTGATGTGCGCGTTACGTTGCGGATTGGTCTGCCAGCTGGCGCCCGCTGCCGCTGCCGCTCGATGCAGGCAGGCCGAGTCCGAGGGTCCCCGCCCGCATCCAATTCCGCCGCCCACCCCACGTTTGGGCTAGACTGGGCTGGCCGCGACTGTATTCCGCGAGGGGCTGGCGAATACAGAGCCCAACCTCGGCCGCAACGGCAGCGGCAGCTGCGGAGCTTCTTTGCGCACGCCCGAGGTGCTGAATCCTCGGTGCGGCCTAGAAGAGCGGCTGGCAGGCTCAGCCAGCTGGTAGCGGGCACCTCAAGCAAGCCGGTACGAGCAGCGAGCCTGCCTGCGACGCCGAACAAACGGAGGGGGGTCCCTGCATGCTGCCCCGCCCCGCCAGGCCAGACCAGGTCAGACGGCGTAGCCGAACGACGCACGCTGGCCCCGCGCCATCCCTGCCTGCGCCCGGCAGCACCGTACCGTGCGGCGCGCAGCCTGCGTCGGGTCGCGTCGGGCTCGACCTGAATTCGGTAGGGTCCGCCTCCGAGGCGCAGCCGGCCGAACGAACTCCCACTCGCCCTCGCTCTGTCTCTTGCGCGTATGTACCGGCGACAATCGAAGACGACGTCAACAGCCCCAGGTCTGGCGTGCATCGACGCTAGCGCCGGGGCGAGGGCGTACTGTACCTACCGTGGCAGCGCAGCGTGCGTGACAGCTGATCGCCTCGAGGCGAGTGCCGAGTCGAGCGCGTGCAAGGGGAAACCAGGACCCTCCGGCGACGAGCAGGACAGGCGCGATGAGCGAGCCAGAGCCAGAGCCAAAGCCAGAGCCAGCGCACCTGCATGCTGCCTCCGTCGTCCTCTTGCCAGGCGAGTTGGACAGCCAGCGGGAGAGCAGCGGAGTCAAAGGATCGCAATGGCAAACCGACCCCTTGCTTCGTGCCGGCGAAGTCAGAGTCAGGCTAGGTTAGGCCGGCAGGAGCAGCGAGCGAGCCAACAGCTTCTTCCAGCGGTGCATGGCTTACCGATCCGTGTGCGCTCGGAGCTGGACGTCATCGTCGCCGACATGGGCCTAGTCACGTCTGCATCGACTTCACCGTTCGATGTGTTGGCCCCTTCTCTCGACGAGGCTCCGACGAGACCGTAGCGCGCTGGAACGGAGATGCTGAGCGGCAGGAATGAAGGCATGCTGCGAAATGGACTGCGAGGTAAACGGCGAAGCGCCAAAAGTCGCGGTCGTCGATCGACGGAGAGGCGAGAGCGGGTGAAAGGGTCGAGATCCGTGGCCACGTTTGCCAATGGGCGACCTGGCGGAAACACCTGCGGGAGCGCTGACCTTGCGACTTGACGGGAAAACAAGTCGTAAAAGAAAGACAAAAAGTCGGTAGCATGACGGTGCGGGGCCCTCGACGACTGACGAGATCGACCAGACCCGCACCGCGCAGGAGGCAGAGCGAGGGCAGACTGCGGCTCGGGGCGATCGGATCGACCGCCGGCGTCGGACCGACCCGGCGAGAGCGGCGGGGCGAGGTCGAGAGGATCCAGGCTGTCGAGAGGCTCCTTTGATACATGACTACCCTCGGTCGAGCTGAGCTGGACACGGCCAGGTCGGGGCTCGGGCCAGCGCAGATCGACGAGCGGCGGCAGGCTCAGCTCCGCCGACGGCCAGCAGGCGGGCATGGCCGAAGCCGAGATGTCTCAGGTCGTAGCTCATCCCCTCCAAGGCCCACCCTGCCTCAGCCTACTCGTTGACCAGCAGGCAGGCAGGTAGGGACGCGAAGAGAGGGAGGGACGGTCCGAGTGAAGCGGATCCGACCCGACCCAGCACTCACCGCCAGGGCTCCGTCCCGCTCCTCGGCACCGTGCGCGCCCCGGAGCCCATATCGGCGTCCGTGGAGCGTGCAGACCGCATCTTGCTCGCACGCTCCGTTCACAACGGTATGACGGGGTCGGGGTGTGACGAGGTGCGAGAAGGGATGGGTGAAGAGAGGGGCTGTCGTCCGGGGAGCGGTCGAGGTCGGCGGTGAGGAGCTACCTGTCGTACGCGTGCGTTCGGCTGTTGGCCGGCGGGACCCTGCGTCGACCCTGACAGCAGCAGCCGCCGCCTGGTCTGGTTCGAGCCGGGCGTCCGAGGGCCAGGCTCGCAACGCGCAGCGAGGCCGGACGCCTCATTCCCGTCTGCCGAGATTTCGACGAAAACGTCGGAACCGAGTTCGGGCGGCTTGGGCTCGGCCTTTGCGACGCTGGGGCCGGGGCCAGGCCAGGCCGAACGAGCTTCTTCTCCTCCACTTGCCACCACCCACCGCCCACCACCCGACACCACCACCAAACCACCTCGCCACTCACACACAGATACATCGACCATGTCGCTTCCCCGAACCCTCCGCACCGGCTTCCAGACGATGCGACAGCAAGCGCACACCCGCTCGTTCTCTTGGACGCCGCGCACATCCAAAATCTACCCCTCGACCGACCTCTCGACCATCACGGCGCGGCTCTCGCCCGCCGCCGACGCGGCAGAGCATGGTCGACCGCTCCTCGTCGACTTCTACGCCACCTGGTGCCAGCCCTGCAAGCTCCTCTCGCCCACCCTCACCAAGCTCACCGAAGGCGACGACAAGCCCGTCGATCTCATCAAGATCGATGTCGACGAGCACCAGCAGCTCGCGCAGCAGTTCAAGGTCTCGGCTATGCCCACCGTGCTCCTCATGAAGGAGGGAAAGGTGAGTGCGTCGGCGTCGTCGCCGATGCGAGCGAGTAACGATGGCGGGCCATGACTGCCGCGTGGTGCCGGAGCGTCTGGACGCTCTGGACGACCGAGACTGATCGCACCTACCTCCCCGCTCCTTACCTACCCCTCCTACCCGCGTCTGTCGGTCCGGTAGGTCGTCGACGGCTTCGTCGGTCTGCTACCCGAGCGCAAGGTGGCCGAGTTCCTCGCAAAGCACCAGTAGCAACGGCAGCGGCAGCAGCAGCGTGCCCAGCGGCCAGACGCACCTCGATGCCGCCCCCCAGACGGTCGCCTGGCCCCGATGCAACGCCAGCCAGACAGACAGCCTTGCACCGTCCGTCGTTCGGCCAGCCGTCTGATCTGCCCATGGCAAGCAGCAACATTACAGGCTTCCAGATGCGGCCGTTGATGGCCGGGGGCCGGCTTAAAGATGCTCATGAGGATCCCGACAGCGAGGCTGTGTGGCGGTAGTGCTGTTATGGTACATTGCAGGAATGCCGTCGAAACGAGGATGGAAATGGTAGGGTGGCCAAGGGAGAGGAACCTATGCAGAGTGAAGAAGGCGGGCAATGAAGGGTAAGTTGAGAAGCGAGGCGAGGCGGAGAGGGACGAGGATCCTGAGAATGCATGAGGGCGGCGTGCGATGCTGGAGGAGAATGTGCAAGCAGGAGGACCTGGGGGAGGCGGTCAAGGCGATGCTCGCCCGAGTTAGCCGCGGTACGGGCTGATGCTCATGGCCTCGACCTGCGATACAAACGAGGCGGCCGACCCTTCGTCGTCGTCGTCGCCACCTTCGGGCCCGCGATGCTGCGAGGCGTGGACGGCGCCAGGGATATCGACGCCACCCTCCTGCCCCGAGCCGTTGCCCTCGCCCTCGTTGTCGTCGTCTTCGCCATCATCGTCGTCGTCGTCGTCGTCGTCGTCGCTGTCGCCATCCTCTTCGGGCGCCACATCGGCCCATTCGCGGTAGAGCGGGTCGACGAAGCTGGCCGAAGTCTGCAGCTTGTAAGGGTCAAAGGGGAAGAAGACGTCGAGGTTGGAGCTCGTCTGGATCGGATCCGGCAGCTGCTTGTGCTGCTGCGAGCCGGCGTCCGAGGGGCGCGGGGTGCCAACGTCGCTGCCTTCGCGGCTCGAGTCGCCTCCTGGACCGGCGCCGCCCGAGCCGAGGCCGCCGAGGGTGTTGAGCGACGTCGTGCGCGAAGGCTGTCGGCTGTTGCGGGTGGCGACCCTGCCCATGCGGTTGTTGGACTCGATGATCGAGTAGCAGTAGAGGAAGCCGGTGTGCTGGGCGATGCGCGCAAACTGCTTGACCACGTTGGCCGAGCAAAACTTGAGCGGGTTGAGGGGCGACGTGATGGCACGCTGCACCACGCTGAGGCCGTCGCACCACGTCCCCGCCACCGACGCCTGCGATAGCGCGCCGATGCTACCGTGGAGCCCGCCGGCCAGCTCGTCGGCATCCGCGTCGCCCTCGTCATCCTCGCCCTCCCCCTCGCCCTCGCCGGGCGTCAGCTTGAGGTCGCGCCAGCGGAAGCAGAAGATGTAGAAGACGGCCTGAGCGACGGCGTAAAACACCGAGTGGACTCGACTGCCCGGCGGCGCGGCGCCAATCTCGGTGTCGAGCTGCTGGCTCGCCTCGAGGTGGGCGTCGAGGAATGCGCAAAGGTTGAGCACGACGATGCGGCTAGTGGGGCCGTCAACGTACGAGGCGCGGCTGACGAAACTCGCAACGTAGCTGGCCGCAGCCGAACGGAGGATGTCGGGCTCCTCGACCTCGTTGCCACCGCCGCCCGACGAAGGCTGCTGGTGGTGGATGCCGCCGTAGAGGCTCTTGCTGAGCAGCACGCCGAGAAACAGGTCGGAATACTCGGCGTCGAGCGAGTTGAACCAGAAGAGCAGAAACTGGACATGGCGGCACTTGAAGGTGGGCAGCATCGCCCGCGTGAAGATGCCGAGCAGCGTGTGGAAGAGGTGGCGGCGGTTGGCCTCGCCGTCGGCCGCGCTCATGACCACGGCACCCGCCTTGCCCGTAGCGCCGCCGCCGTCGATGGCCGCCTGGAAGCCGCGGTTGAGGCGGGTGAGGTGCTCGAGCACGGCCGTCATGATGCTGTCGAGGGTGGCCACCAGCGTGCGGATCCGCTCGAGCGCCTGCTGGTCCTCGGGATCCAGGATGTCGCGCTCCTCGAGCTCGTCCTCGTCGGCCGACTCGTCGTCGTCGTCCATCAGGTCCTGGAGGTTGTCGCCGGCATCGCTGCCGTCATCGCTCTCGTCGCCGTCATCGTCGTCGATGGCATTGTCAAAGGGGTCGGCGAGGTCCTGGCCCAATACATCCTCCTCGAGGTCATCGAGCTCCACCTGGATCTCGACGTCGAGCTGGATGGCGCGGTCGATGACGGTGTTGAGTATGCTCTCGGACAGCTCGGCGCAGTAGGTGGCGACGCGGAGCATGTTGCGGACGTAGACGAGCTGCTCGGAGCGGCGCGCCGCCTTGGGCGGGAAGCGGCGCGCGAGCAGCGGCAGCAGCGACGAGGGCAGCGTAGGGATCAGCGCCATGAGCGAGCGGATGAGCAGGTGGAAGCGATCGTAGAGCTGCCGCCGGTCGATCTCGGGTACCTCGGTGACGGGCAGGCCGAGCAGGCTGCGCGCCTTCGCGTTGGACACTGGCAGGGCGGCGCGAGGGCGAAGGACAGTGGCAAAGCGTCAGCACAAGGCATTTCGATGCCTTAGCCGGCCGGCCGGCCAGTCAGAAGAACGACTGGCCGCCCCGTGGGATCGCGCCGACTCACTGTACTCCAACCCTTGGACGGCCTGCGAGAGGACACTGTTGAGCCATTCGCCGCGGGCGCTGACGAGGCTGCAGACAAACTTGATCCACAGGTGGGCAAAGTGATCCTCGACGAGATACCACGGCAGCTGGAGAATGTTTTCGACGAGCTGCGAGTGGGTGCGGTCGAGGGCCGAGACGACGTGCGAAAGCGCCGCCATCCACGACTTGAGCTGAGCCGGTGAGGCGCGGAGCGCAGGCGCAGAGATGTTGAACTGGGCCGCGAGCTCGTTGTAGGGGCCGAGATTACCCTGCGGAAGCGTAGGGTGGCGTAGTCGGGCAACGGTGGCACGAGCGGTGGCAAACAACGTCAGCGTCGATGCGTATCGAGGCAGAACGCGTCCCCTGCGGCATCGAGGTGGGCAAGTCGAGCGGCGGGCGGCGACTCACCTGCGACTTTTCCTGGAGGGCGTTGCTGACGAACGAGAGGTACATTCCCTGCCGGTAGTCGCCTGCTGGGGAGAGGGCGGTCATTGCGGCGAGGGAGCCCGAGGGCGCTCTGCTGCGGCTGGACAATGCGGAGCGGATGGGCCTGCGCTGCTGAGAGGATGGCAGTGGCGAAGACGAGGCCTGCTTGCCGCCCTCGTCGTCGTCTCCGTCGTCGTCGTCGTCTTGGCTGCTAGCGTCGCTGGCGGTAGGGCTGTCGCTGTCGTCGGATTCGTCGTCAGAGGGCGGGCTGCGACGCTTTGCTGGCGAGTAGGTGGCGTCGTTGCCGAGCGAGGCGTTGGCTGCATCGTCGATGGAGCGCTTTGACGAGGTGCGGCGGACGACAGCGGCGGCAGGGAGGGTGACGGAAGCGAAGCGCATCGCCTTGACGGGGTTGGCCGCCAGCTTTGTGGACGGCAGAGGAGGTTGCGGTGGTCGCGAGTGCTGTATTGGGACGGCCGTGACCATCTCTTCGTGCGAGAGTGGCGGTATCGCGGGAGAATCGGACCTCGCTGTCGCAGTGCAGGCGGGCAGGTTCAAGGTTCAGCCACAACGAGGACGGAAAGCCTGACCTTGAAGTGGCGGGGCTTGAGCGGGGCCTCCGGACGCTGACGAGCGCCGCTCAGGGAGACGGAGTGCTTGCAAGGCCAAGAGGAGATGACTGCGGGTATTCGTTCGAGGTTGAAGTTGCGAGCGAAGAGGTCGAGTCCGGCGGCGAAGATGGACTTCCTACTGGACAGACGGGGACCGAGGAGGCGTGGGTCACGGCCAAGATCGCAATGATGCCTTCCGACAGAGGGGCGATCGATGGCGCTGCTGAGACCGAGATGCCAATATACCGTGCGGCGGCGAGAGCAAGCCCCGTCGGTGACGTGATGAAAGGAAGCGGGGCGAGGGCGCGGCGAGTGACCAGGCGAGAGGGCTGATGGTGGTGACGGTCAGAAGAAGAGTATGGCAGCCAGCCGGTGGGCCACAGCCGCGGCGAGGGCCCTTGGGCCACCAGGCCCTGGCCGCTGCCCGCTCAGCCAGGCCAGCAGGCAGGCCAGGCGCTCGTCTCGAGGCGCTGGCTGGGCTGGGCTGGCTCGCTGTTGGCCCGGGGTGCGAGCCCCCCCTGGGGGAAAAATCAAAAATTCAAGATGGCAAAAATCCAAGCTAAGCGCCCGCCGGCAGAGGGGCAGGCGACCGGGTGCGAGCGAGCGAGGGGCGCTCCTTGGCTTGCTCCACCTTGGTGGGCCGGGCCTGGCCTGCTCGCGGCTCGCGGCTCGCTGGTCGTGTGAGGGAACCTCGAAAGGTCAAAATTCAGAGATCAGATCGGGGAGATCGGAGAGCAGCCTCGCGATCGGTAATCAGCTCATCGGGCTCAGCTGGTCGGCCCAGGGTGCACCCCACAGCCTCAGCGGTGGCCAGGCGCCCCCTCCAACAGCAGGCTAGCCCGCCACACAGATTCTTAATTCCCATCTCCCCACACGGCCGCCGCTCCGCGTTGGAGAAGAGGACTCGGACAGCACACCAACCTCCAGGCGCAGCTCGTAGCGGCTCTGGAGGCGCGAGAGTAGGGGAAGTGGAGAACGCCGGGCCGGCATCGGCACGGCAGCACGCGCAGCGTCGTCGCCCCAACTGCAGGGGCGGATTGAACTAGTCTCTCGAGGCTGCTGCGGCGACATCAACCCCCGAGTCTACGGCGAATGGGCCCCCGTCCAACGCGGCAGGCCCGGCGCAATGACGAGGTCGATGGCAGAGATGGGGAGCGCAGCAAGCGGCAGGTAAGAATCGCATCCCAAGTCGACACGGGGCGGGGATGTACAGTACAAAGGGCCGACGAGGTCATGGCGCTGCAGGACAATCGGCAACGTAACGTTATGATCCAGAGCCGTCCATCGAGCTTGCAAGCCTGGGGCTCGAGCGTCGTCGATCGAGCCAGACTCGTAGCGCAGAGCCAGGGTTAAGGCGCTCCAGTCGACGGTCGTGCGGCTACCGGTAGCAGACGGCGGTCGGGCGGCGATCGCTGATGGACAGACGATTGACGTCGATTGCGGCTCCGCTGGTGAGGCCGAGCTGGTATCGACGCCCGCTCGAGGAGTCGCGCAAAAGGATGGCGGGCCGTGGCAGGCGCTGCTGGTGTTGAGGAGCAGCCGTGCGTGGTGGTCGAAGACGACGAGACGCTGTCGCGTGGCCTGGGCAACCCGCCCTTCGGTCAAGGCCAGGCCAGGCCAGGCCAAGCACTCCGCCCTTCCCCGCGCAGCAGCCTGCCCGAGCGGGGCTGGGATGGGCGGCCACCCGAGAGACACACAGGCCCTCTTGCTGCCCGTTCCGCCGCGTTGCCTCCTGGCCCCGCCTGGTCCTGCCCTGCCCTGCCCGGCGGCCCGCCCGCCTCCGTACAGCGCCCGCGCCGCTGGCTTTTTGTCTGCTGCCTCGCCTGCGCCTCGAAGGCCCTCTTGCAGACCATCGTGATCTGCTTTTCGACCGGCCCCCCGGAGCGTACCACGAACCGGGCGATGAGCTCTATCTCACCGCCGCCACTTGGGCGGGCATTGGGCAGAATGACATGGCCTGGCGATATGGACGGAAAGCTGGCTGACCTTTTTCGCGAGGCAGAGAGGCAGGGGGGACCCATAGGCGAGCAGGCAGGCGATCTGCGCCGCAAGATAGGCTCACAGGACGGCGGCAGCTGATCGCTCGTCCCAGGCAGGGGACAACAGCTACCTGTAGCGCGCGCTCTTCTGCCTGCCCGCCTCCGCGTCGCTCGCTGCCTGCTGGCCTGCCCTCCCCTGCCTGCCCCCCTGCTCCCCTAATCCATCTTCGTCTTCGACTTCAAACGCATCTGAAATCCGAGAAGGATCGCCTTGCCTGGTTTGTATTCGGCCACTCCGAAACGCGGGCACGCAAGGCACCGACCGCCGACCGCCGCGGAGCAGATCGAGTCGGGACGAGACAGGAGAGGAAGCTGCTCTGTTGGTCGCTGTGCGCCGACTGCGGCTGCCCTGCCTGCTCGGCGCCCTTTCAGCGGACAGATCAAGCTGCAGGCAGGCTGGCTTTGCTTGCTTGCTTGGTTTTTGCCTGCCTGCCCGACGGGTACGGTCTCGTTTGGCTGAGGGCCTCGGGCAGGCAGGCAAGAAGACTCAGCTGGTTGGCTGGCTGGCTTTGCCGGCTGGCTGGAAAAATGAAGCGGGCTGGCCGGGAGGGGGCACCAACGCCCCCGGCCTGCAGGCGATCCTGCAAAGCAAGAAGCAAGAGCAGCGGCAGATCAAGGCAGGCGGGCGTTGCCTCTGGGCCAGCTGGCCTACGCTGGCACCCCGCACTTTGCCGCTCTTTGTGGTTTCCAAATTGGGCCTCGCCAGACTCGAGCCCGGCCGCTTTGTTTTCCGCGCTGGGGCCTGGCCTGGACTGGACTGGCCTAGCCTAGCCTAGCCTGGCACCTCGCCTCGCCTCGTCTAAACGCAGAGCAGTCGATCTAGCCTGGCGCTCCGAGCTCGGCGGCCGTCGAGGCAGGGAGGCAGGGAGGCAGGCCAGAGGCTGGCAGCAAGGCGAGGGTGTTGCCGGCAGCTGGCTGTTGATCTCTGTCTCGTCTCTCCTCGAACCCTTTGACCCGGGGGCTTCCCTTCTGCTCTTGGCCTGATGCCCTGCTCCCCCTTCCCTTCACCACGGCTCCTGATCAACAGCCGCTGCCGCCGTCCCCCGTCGCCATCTTCACTGCCACCATCACCGCATCACCACCGCCCTTGTCGTCCCGATCCCCTTCTTCGACATCGTCCGGCCGCCTGTCTGAGACGCTCGGCCCTTGTCGTCCACGACCCGTCCACGACCACGCTCCTTTGTAGTCCACCGGGCTCTCTGCTCTTCGGATCGCGCCTCGTCGCACACCTTTGCGGCTCTGCTTGCTCCCGCTGCTGCTGTCGGGACATCCGCACGCCAAGACTTGCCCGTCCTCTCGCGGCCAGCCCGCCGCGCTCGGCGTCGCCCCACGCACAAGCCCATTTCCAACGCCCCTGACCCGACGCCTCAAGCATCGCCGCTGCTCCGGCTCGTTTCGCGGACAATCGTCGCCTTAACCCAGTTTTTTTTTGCTTGCCTGCCATGGCCAGGCCAGACGGGCGACCGCCGAGGCCGCGCTCCAAGTCTGCGGCGCGCAGCTTCACAGGCCGGTCCGAATCCGCCCTCAGCCGCCGTTCCTCGCGCACCTCGTTCATCACGGCCGCCGGCGCGTCCGTCAGCGATCCGGCAGAGCCGCGCAGCAGCTTCACCGCCGACTCCGTCACCGACGGGCTTCGGGACGACGACGACGACGACGATGACGACGACGACTCTTCAAGCGTCTCGGACAGCCCGGAGCCCCGATTCGCAGCCCGCAGGGATTCGGGCGAGTCGCTCCACCGCTCGCCTCCGACATCGCAAGACGATGCCACCACGCTCTCGACCCTCGAGGAGCCCACACCGCAGCCGCAGCGCATCGCCTCCAAGAAGCAGCAGTCGAAGCTCGCACCGGCACCGGCTCTGGCCGAGGCCATGGCGAGCCCGCGCTACAGCAGGGACGACCGACGCTTCCTGTCGCCCTCGCCCACTCCGCGCAAGTCGAACGCACCGGCCAGGGAGAGCCGCCGCTTCTCCAAGGCCAGTCACCTGACGCTGCCCTATGAGCGCTCCGAGGTGGGCGACTACGACTACGACGACGGCAGGGACCGCGACCGCCGCTCCTCGACGCTGCGCCCGAGCAAGTCGAGCTCCCGCATCAGCTCCCAAAACCTCGAGCCGCCCTTTCCCGACCGCCGCAAGAGCCGCTCCCGCTCCTTCACCGACGGCGGCGGCGACCGTTCCGACTCGAGGCTCAGCAGGCTGGCGCCTCCGCTGCCGCTCGGGGGCCAGCGTGCCTCGGTGCGCGGCTCGATGCTGTCCGGCTACGCGCCATCGTCGCCGGGCTCTGACCGTTTCTCGATGCGCGACGGTCCCATGAGCCCCAACCGCTCGCTCCTCTCGCCCCACCAACGCTCGCCGCGCAAAAAGGACCGCAGCGACACGGCCAGCATCGCGACCCGGACCACCGCCCGAGGCGCAGGCCGGGGTGCCGCCTCGATCCGCAGCGGCGTCGCCGGCGACGGCGAAGGCCTGGCCTCCCCGACCGACAAGGTCCTCGACCCGGAGAGCCACGTGTTCCCCGGTACAAAGATCCGCAAGCACATCGAGCCTCCGCTGACGGACGCGATGCGCAGCGTGCTGCGCCAGTTTGGCGGTCGCAACATGGGCGACCACGGCTGCAACGGCTACCCGATCGCGGTCTTTGTCGGCGCAACCGCCCTCGACACGGGCTCCGTCATCCACCCGCACGTCTCGGGCGGCATCTCGCTCTACTTTGGCGCGGGCCACCCCAAGAACATGGCCGTCGTGCTGCCAGACGAGGATCGCATCCCGCGCCACATTCCCAACCCCAAGGCGCCCACTCCCGTGTCGCTCTCGCGCCGCGCCGAGCTCCGAGCCGCAGTCGCAGCGCTCAAGACGGTGTTTGACCTCTACCGCGGCCGCGCTTGCGCCCACATCTGCATCGACAGCGCCTACGTCGCCAAGGCCTGGGCCACCTGGATCCCGACCTGGGACGCCCAGGGCTGGCCGGGTGAAGAGGAGCCCGAGCAGTGGAGCCGCCGCCGCCACCGCGACGACGACGACTACCGCTCCGACGACGACGACTACACCAGCTACAGCGACGACGACCGCGGCGGACGCAGGCGGAACCAGCGCAGGCACAGGGGAGACCGCCGCGACGGCGGCTATGCCAGCGAAGGCGGTCGGGGCGCTCGCTACGAGGACGAGCAGCGGCGCCGCCGTCACCGCGAGAAGGGCCGCAGGGACGACCGCGATCGCGATCGCCCGCGCGACGACTGGCTCGCCGACGACCCCTATGGAGACCGGCGCCAGTCGCGCAGGCCTGGTGGCGGAGGCTACGCCAGCGACCGAGGCTCTCGCCGTGGAGGCGGAAGTGAGGGAGGCAGGCGCCGCCGCCGCCGTCACGACGACTACTCGGACGACGATGACGACTATTCCGATTACGACGATCGCAGGTCCTCGTCCCGAAAGCGCGGTAGCCAGCGCGGAGGCGGAGGCGGGCGCCGTACCGCCGACGACGACCGCGACGACGACCGCCGCCGGCCCGGATCCAAGCGCCGCGGCGGTGGCAAGTCGACTGCGGCCGGTGCCACGAGCCGCAAGCTGGTCGACGAGGACCTGCTGCGCGAGCTGGCCGACATCCGGTACGAGTTTGCGCTCGTCGAGCAGAAGCGCATCGGCAGCGCGCACCTCTACCTCATCGACCGCACGCACAATCCGGCCGACCGGATGGCGCGCGCCGTGGCCAAGAGCGAGGGCGGCCTGCTGGGCGCCACCGTCGACCACGGTGTCGGGTCCGCCTCGGTCCTGGGCGACGACGACGACTTTGTCGGAGACCACGCCCGCAGCCCGGCGACCGCCCGTAAGGTCGCCGCCGACCGCATGACGCTGCGCGAGGACGACGACGACTTCTACTACGACGAGACGAGGTCGATGGCCGAGCACCGCGTCGCCAGCCGCATCCGCTCGCGGCGAAGCATCGACATCGAGAGCCGGCGCCATCCCATGCCTTCCTCGGGACGCGCCAGCCTCGATGTCGGAGGCAAGGACCGCTCCTCGATGTCCGACGACCACCGCCTCAGCCAGGCCAGCAGCGTGCTCGCCTCGGCCGCTCGGGTTCGGCCCACGGCCAAGGGCAGGGACGCCAACGGCTCTCGTCTCGGCGGCAGCGCTCTGTCGGTCTACGAGGAGGAGGACGAAGACGCGGCCGACTTTGACGACGACGACGGCCGCCTTTCGACCCGCACGCCGCCTTCGCGCGCCGAGCTGGAGCGCGACGATTACCTCGCTCGCCAGGCGGAACGCGAGCAGGTGGCCGGCGGCACCCGCAGTCGCCTTGCACCTCCATCGTCGGGGCGCTTCCGAGACGCCCTTGGCAGTTCCCGAGGCTCGATGGACCGACGCCGCTTCGCCGCCAGCCAGCCGGACCTTCATGAGGGTAGCGGAGGCCGACGACCGCTGTACGCCGACGACGGCGACGATTTCGACGACCGCCGCTCCATGATGTCGTCGGCCACGGGCCGGGAGCGTCGAGGGGCCAGCAGCGGCGTGGCTGGCGTGGGTGCAGGCGCCTCGCGCAGCCGCAACCTCTTCCCGCCGTCGCCGTCTTCGGCGCGGGGCTCGCTCGACTCTCGGCGCACGGCCACGCTGCGTTCGCACCACGGTCCAGGCCTGGCGCCCGAAGAGGAGGGGTACGACTGGGACACGAGGTCGACGGCCTCGTCGACGCGGCGCAGCTTCATGGGCCGGCGCAAGAAGAGCGCCGCGCCGCCCAACGGAGCCGACCCGCGCCGGCCCAGGGACTGGAGGGGCAAGACGGCCGTCGACTTTGAAGAGGAGCTCGCCGCTTCGGGCCGAGGCGAAAAGAAGAGCGGCGGCATCTTTGGCAAGCTCTTTGGCAAGCGACGGTGAGCGGCAGTCGTCGTCGTCGTCGTCGCTGCCGCCGTCGCAGCAGGATGGGACGTCGTGACACACGACGTCGTCGATGTATACCCTCCGCGGTCGTGGCTGCCGACCTGTTCCGAGGCACGGCGGGGTACGCTTCGTCGCTCCGCCCTGTGCCCGTCGTGTCGCGCCGTGATCGCGGTTGATGTGGCGTGTTACCGGATTCGGAATTTCCCCTCGGTCGAAGGGAAGGTGGATGGTGGACGTGACGTTGGAACCGGGTATGCCGCTTCCCCGGCCTTTCCCTCTCTCTCCCTCTCTCTTGCGCGCGCTCTCTTTGTGCTCTAGCCCCCCGGCTCCCTTTGCCTGCTTCGCTCCTTTTGCCTCGCTCAGTGCTCCCTGTACCGCTTTGCTCTCGGTTCTACTTCCCCCGCCCGATCTCAAACGCTCCTTACCTTCTAGCCCGCTGTGCGTCGTGTGTCGCGCGTCGTGCGTCAGGGCGTTTCGAGATCCATCCGTGTCTGGCTGGCCATCTAGCACCTCGTGCATCGATGCGCTCGGGCGAGGTGAAGGCCAGACATCGTTCCATGCCACCTCGCTCTGTGGCCGAGCGGGCCGAACGGGCGACGAGGCAGTGAGACGAGGCAGTGAGGGCAAGGAATAAGGTGCAAGGATATCGTCGTGGTGTCGCCCACCCGCGCGCTGGGCCGGCCGGCAAGGCGGAATCGACGCGGCGAGGGACGGCGTCAAGAGGGCGGGGCAAGACGTGGAGCAGTCAGGTTGGTATGATACAGGATTCGCTTGAAGATCAACGTCATAAAGGCCGTCGTCGGCGTGTCGGGCGCGGTGGCGGCTGCACGCCAGATCGGGCTGAGGCGAGGGTCGCAGTCGATGAACCGCCATGCCTCACGGGTGGAACAAGATGCCTTCGCCGTTGGCCGATGTCGATGATGGGGGCGGAGCACTGCCGCCGTACGACATCGCGTACTGCCAGCCGTTTGTCGGCGCGGATGGCGCTGCCATCGCCTTCCTGGATGGGGAAGAGGCAAAGGCCGCCGCCGCCGGGCCGATCCGAGGCGACTTGCCGACGCGGTCCGCGGCGCGTTCAAAAGATTTCCGCTTCGTGGGCGGAGGCGTCGGAGGCAACGGCGTGGGCGAGGCTCCAGCATTCGATGCAGACGCTGACGACGTTGACGTTGCTGACGCTGCTGTCGATGCCGCCGCGGCCGCCGTTGCAGACACCTGGTAGCGTGCGAGGGTGGATGGCGATGCTGCGAGCCCAGAGAATGAGGGCGACTGCGATGCTGGGGCGTGGCCCGGCCGAAGCGGATGCGAAGAGTTGCCTCGGCTGCCGCCGCGAAGCCCTGGAGAGTAACCTGGTCTTGCCGTGGCCACCGACGACGATGCCGGTACGGACGAAGGCGAAAGCGGGGCGCGTGGGTCTGGTGGAGGTGGCGGTGTTGGTGCCAGTGGATGAGCGGGGTTGGCCGCAGTAGAAGACAGCTGTCCGTCGTGCCGGTAGCTGCTGTAGCCTTGAGGCTCGAGCTCAGAAGAAGGCTCTGCGACCCCTCTTGCTTCTTCGTTGCCGTCGTCGTCGTATTCGTCACCACCGACGACGTCCTGCGCCTGCAGCGACATGGCCGCTGTGCCGCTTACGCTGTCCACATCGACGTTGGAAGGCGGCAGATCGAGGACAAAGTCGTCGTGGGAGCGCACGAGGCTTGCGTAGTAGTGCTGGAGGAGGTCGCCGCTGCAGGTGAGGCGCCAGTCGATGATGTTGAGAAACTCCTTTTCGAGCAGGTTCATCTCTGCGAGGGTGATGCCGCCAACGCGCGAGTAGTGCTCGTTTGTGTTGAAGGCGTCGCAGAGGGCCTTGCTGGCGCAGAGGACGGCAGCGCAGACGAAGCGGTGGACGGTGAGGCCGCAAATGGTGAAGCCGGCCATGCGCTCGCAGACGCGGTCAATGTAGACGAGGAGGATGAGCATGCAGCACTTTTCGACCGACGTGTACTTTGCGATGCGGCGGAGGTAGGCGGGGAGCGAGATGTTGGGCGTGGCGCGCGAGTGGAAGCGGGTGAGCGAGGCCGGGTGGAGCGGCAGGCTGTCGTTGTGCTGCGTGAGCTTGGTGAGCATATCGGCTGGAGGCGCGGCGTTTGCGTTCCAAGGAAGAAGACGAGACACAAGCGAGGCCAGAGGCAGACGGATGAGACGACAATCAGCAAGCGAGCACGATTGAGAACACGGAGCGGCCCGGTGGTCATTGTCTTACTCACCGACCAGCACCACGACGTCGTCGAGCTCGGCATCGTCAAAGAGATAAGGCAGCACCTTGCGATGTTTAGGGGGCGGGCCTGCCCGCGAGGCTGCGCTGACCGTGCGGCTGTGGCTACCTTTAATGCTTCGCCGAGATGGTGGTCTGGACGGCGGGCGCGAGGTCGACGCTGAGGGGGTGGGTGATGCTGCTGCTGCCGCGGCGGCGGCTGCGGCTGCCATACTGGACGACGAGGAGGCGCCGACGGCGGTGGCAGTTGTGAGTGCGTGCGGTTCGGCGGCTGCCGAGGCAGAAGGCGAGGAAGCAGCAGAGGTCGACGACGAGGCCGAGGACACGGAGGCTTGCGAGGACGACGATGGGGCGAAGCTCGAGCTTGGCGGGTGGTGCACGCTGTCGGCCGTCATTGTTGCATCGTCGAAGAGCGGAGCGTGCTGAGCGAGGGTGTCGGTGGTGGTGTTGCAGGGATGCCAAGGTGTCTATCGGATAGGCTGGAAGAGTCCGAGACCGCCGGTGTATGGCCTGTGTATGGCCTGTGTATGGCCTGTGGATGGGGGGAGGGTGGCGAGGATCCGTAAGAGGGCGCGGACGATGGAGTGCAGGTCTATTCCAGGTGTATGCAGGCGGCGACGCGAAGAGATGAGCTGCGACGGGATGGCAGGAGACGGGGCAAGAATGGTTGCCAAGAGGGAGGCGGGAGACGAGAGGCGCCAGCGATGAGGGCGCACTGCGGTGCCAAGAAAGCGGAAGGGTGGCTGCAGCGGTGCTCAGACGCAAGGGCTGGTCGAAGATGGCGACGAAGATCCAAGGTGGAGAGCCAGCGAGGTCGATTGGCGCAGAGGAGGTAAGGAGGGCGCCGGGCTGGGTCGCTCTGCGATGAATGAAGAAGGCGGAGGCGGTAGTGGTGGCAAAGGTGGTGGTGGTGGTGGTGATGGCGATGGCACTGGTGGTGGTGGTGGCGCGGGCGGTGGTGATGGCGGTGGGTGGGTGAGGAGGCGAAAGCGCAGCGGGTCGGGTGGAGGAGAAGGAGAAGAACAAAAGGGCGCAACGGCAGAGGCAGCGCCTTGACCAAAGGCGGGCGGCCAACCCAGCGGGCAGGCAGGCAAGGCAGGCAGTGCCAGCCTGTACCGGCCTCTGCTGCTGCTGCTGCTTCTGCGTCTGCTTCCACCTGCATCTGCACCAACCAATTTTTCGCAAACGGATCGGCCAACCATGGCCATGCCCGCCGCGGCCCTTCTGGCGCGCCCCAGCCCAGCAGGCCGGGCAGCCAGCACGTCGGATGTCGCGTTCCGCCACCATGCTTTCATGCCACGTACGTACGCGTATGTATCTAACTGTGTGAGGTGCGTGCGTGCGTGGGTGCGTGGGTGCGTGCGTGAGGTGCGCTGCCAACACACCGCAGCGCGCGCAGCGCGGGCCCACCTCGGCCTGTTTCCAATGCATACCTTTGCGGGCGCCGCTGCTCTGGCTCAACGAAAGCTGGCGGTACCAGGATCCGTCTCTGCGGCCAGCGCTTGGTGGCGGCATACACGCTTTTGCCGCATCCAGCAGACGCTTTCTTCTGGTCTCGCAACGTGCCTCGGACGCTGCAAGGCGATAGAGAGAGGTACGGTAGGGACCCAGCGACCCCGCAAAGAAGCGCGCATGACGACCCTCGCCGGTTGATCCGCGGCGGCAGACCCGATGGCTTCCAGCGAGGCGCGTCGGCCCGATGCCGTCGAGGTTGGTGGCCCACAGCCCACTGCTCGTGGCCATTGCTGCACCTTGCACCGCAGCCATGGCCAGTTCGGCCGGCCCGTCTTGTACATAGCTCCCAACGTGCTCGGCAACCGGATCCAACAGGGACTGCATGCCTCTCAACGTAGCCTGGTGCAATAGGGAGCTCAAAGTGCAAGCTAAGGCAGGCCAGGTGGCCCAGGACGCACGGGCCAAAGCAACACCTAGGGTCCACGACGGACCCACCTCGCCCCGGAGAGTTACGCGTTGCCAGGCCTTGTAAGCTTGTTGATCTGTCTGCTCCCACCTTCATCACTACCACCACTTCTTTTGCGGATCAGACCCACCTTCCCGGCCTTCTCTTCCAGCAGTCACTGCAGCAGCCGACGACCCGCCATGGACAAGTCGACGGGTCCCGTGACGCCGACAAAGGCGCTCCTCAGGCGCATCCATCGACGCAGCTCGGTCCTACCTCCTGGCGAGGCACCGCCGCCGCCGCTGCCCTCAGCCTTCACCGCACCGGCCACCGCCGCCGCCGCCGCCTCGTCCTCCAAAACAGGCCGTCGTATCTCGTCTCAGCTCCAACGGGATCCACCCGTGATCGAGGCCGAGGCCGAGCACCGTGGCAAGGGCGATGCAGACAAGACGGAACACGACAAAGACGGTGAGGACGAGGACGAGGACGAGGCCGTGTGGAAAGAGGTCGGACAGCTCCTCGACACCGTCCAGATGCAAAACGAACGCATCCTCGACCTCGACAAGCGCAACAGGGAGCTCGAGCGCGAGCTGGCAAACGAGAGGGATAAGGCCAAGGCCGCACGAGAGGTGAGCAGTCGCGGATGCGCACGCCCGCATCGATCCCCACGAGCGCGCGCGACCGCAGCACTGACGCACCGGCTTGGCCTGGCTTGGCGCGAACCTCTTCCTGCCCCCTGCGGCCCCCGGCACCGTCGTCCCTGCACGGCAACAGCGGTCCGACAAGGGACTGACGAGGCTGTCGGCCATCAAGGTGGAGCGCGAATTCCTCAGCCAGGAGATGATCCTCAAGGGCCTGCAGCGCGACAACGAGGACAAGACGCTCGAGGTCGAGAACCTGCGGCGCCGGCTCAAGATCATGTCCGACTTTCTCGCCCACACCTACGGCGACGACGACTGGCAGGGCGTCGTGGCGGCCGGCGTGGGCGTCTCGTCGCTGCCCGCGGTGCCCCATGGCGGGCTGCCGTCGCGCAGCCCGGAAAAGGACGTCAAGGACCCGTTTGGCGGCGCATCCGCCATCGCCCGCGTCTTTGACAACGCCAGCGCCAGCCCGCTGGCCAAGTCGAGGCCGCCGGCCTTTGCGGCGCGCCTCGGCAGCCAGGCGCTGCAGCAGCAGGGCGGCAACCCGTTTGCACCCCCGGATCCGTCATCGTCCCGGACGCCGCTCAAGCACAAGCACGCCGGGAGCGGCAGCGGGAGCGGGAGTGGCGCCGGCGCCAGGCCGCCAGCGGCGACCAACAACGACGACGTCGTGATCCCCACCGTCGCACGGATGCACTCGCCGCTCGCCAGTCCCGCCAAAGCGGGCTTCGACGTGTCCCTGGGTCCGGCCGACTTTTTCGATGCCGCCGAGGAAGCCGCGGCCGAGGAGGCCGAAGCGGCAGCGGCGACGGCGGGAGGCCTCGATCCCGCTGCATCGAACGCGGGCAGGCCGGGCGCACACCGAGCTACGGCGGCGGCGGCGGCGGCGGCGGGTGGTGGTGGGGCCGATCGACGAACCCGATTTCGACCCGGCCGTGGTGCTAGCTTCGATTGAGAGTGTGCGTCTGCTTCTTGGCGGGTTTGAGCGGCGCAATGCGCTGCGGCGGAGCGAGATTGAGGACCTCGTCGAGCAGGCTACCCTCGCCGAGCAGCGCATGCAAGAGGCGCAGAACGTGGCCCGTGCCATGTCGACATCCTGATGGGGCATTGGGTGTCTCGCCGCTCGTCGAATTCGACGTTGTCCCCATTTCGTGTTCGTGTCTGTGTGGGGTGTGGCGGTATTGTGGTGCTGGACACCACCACCACCGCCACGCTTACTGCCACGACCACGACCACGGCCACTAGGCGGTCTTTTCGAGACGACGACAACGAAGTCGTACACCCAGTCGACAAGATCCGAGGTGCGAGAGGTCGTTCGCCAGAGAGGCGAGTGCTGGACCCGATTCGAGGGCGAATGCTGCTCCATAGCGACGGGACAGGGAGGGGGGCGATGCTTGCATGCTAGTGAAACGGGAGAGGTGACAATCGAGTGATCGGGATAGGGAAGGGATAGGGGAACCTGGCGAATCCAGCGACATGCGACACGGAGAACAGGATGGGGTCAGGATGGCCCGGGGCGGAGCGGAGCGGGGCAGGAACCTTTCTCCTCCGCTCCGCTCCGGACCCCCGATCGGTGGCAGCGTACGTCGTCGTCGCGGGGATGCCAAAGGTGCATTGATGCTACAATCCTTGCGTGTGGTTTGTCAGAAAGGGGAGCGAGTGCGAGTGCGGGGTTGGACCGGTGGTATGCTACTCGAGATGAGATGGGAAGCGAGCGGATGCGTGCCGAGGGACGAGCGACAGCGACGGGCCCGATCTAGCCCTGCTGCATCCCACCCGCCGTTGACCGCGACCACGAGGCGTTCGCGGCACTGCCGTTGTCGTTGTCGTCGTTGTCGTCGTCGATCGGATCAGTCGAGGTCGCGACGCCCGCCAGGACCTGGGTCTGTGGAAAGACGGGCTCTGCAGGTTGCTCCGCCACCGCCTGCGCCTCCGCCATCGGTTCGACGGCGGCGGCCTCTGCGCCTACTGCTTGGCCCTGGTCCTGGCCCTGGTCTGGGCCCGGCGAACCGCGACCATGCTCTCGTGCATGCCCAGGCCCATAGGCTGTTTGGTGGCCGTGGCGGCGATCGGGATCGGCGAGCCGGGCGTGCAGGTCCACCAGCCTCTGGGGCAGCAGCCCCGCGGCCATCCGCTCTTGCGCTTCCCTGCGCGCCTCGGCAAGCGCCGCGACGACGCGCGGATCCCGCTCGGGCCGCTGTCCATCCCTGTACTGTGCGAGTGCTTGCCGAATTTGTTGCCGATGCTGATCCTGGGTTTGATGCTGGGTCTGCAGCTGGTGCTGATGGGGCGTCAGCATCTGCGCCTGCGCGTGGGCCTGGGTGTCGGCGCCGGCACCGGCTGCGACACGTCGGGCGTTTGTGTAACGGGCGATCTGCATCTGCTGCTGGTAGTAGAGCTGGTCGGCCGGGGAGAGGTGCGCGATGGCAGTGCCTCCTGGCCGCGCAGCTGTCCCGTTGCCGGCGGCGTGCGGATCCGCGCCAGTCGACCGGGCGGGGACGTCGCTGGCGGCTCGAGAGCGGTGCAGGAGCGTCGGGGAGCCGAAGCGGAGGCCGTCCTCCTCGACCATGGCCGTAAACGCACGCCGGATGTCGGAGTCCAGGGGGCCGAACTGCGCCGCCATCTGCTCGTCGCTATAGACCCTTTGCAGGTACCGACGGAGCTCGTTGACGCCCTTGCCAGAGAAGACGCAGAATGCCTGGCGTTGATGCTCATTAAAGTCCTTGGGCGGGGGCCGGCACATGGCCTGGAGCTCCTGACGGCGGAAGGCAGGCACCCCAGTCAAGCTGAGGTGCGTCAGCCGGTTGAGGCGCTGCAGCAGCCAGAAGATGGCCGGCACGCTGACGTTCTCGCAGTAGGAGAGGTGGATGCGCTCGAGGCTCGTGTGCCGATCGACGAGGCTGTAGATGGCCTGGTCGGTGAGGTTGACCACCTGCACGTAGCGGGCAGAGCGGCAATCAGGCAAGGCGAGGGCCAAAGGTCAGGTCAACTCCTGCTGGAACCACCGATACAGAGGCAGCAACCGGCGAGCGATCGGAAGAGGGCTCGCTCCAACTCACCTTGACCAGACCGATGCGCCGGAGCTTTGGTAGGTTGGCAGCCAGCTCAAAGACGCTGAGATCCGTAAGGTGCGGGCAGCACGCGAGGTCGATGTACCGCAGACGAGTGCAGGACCTGGCCAGGTGGGTGACGGCTCGATCGGTGATGCTGTCGACAGACAAGGAAGTAAAAGGTGAGCCAGTCGAACGACGCGGAAACGGGTCAGAGCCGGTGCGCCGAGTCCGTCGAGACCAGCACCGGAATACGAAGACATCGTCGACACTCACTTCGACACGTGGCCGAGATGGAGATAGTGGAGATTTTTGCCGAGCCTGCTGATGCTGTAGACAGACTCGTCTGTGAGCCGGGTGCACTTGGCGAGGATGAGGTTCTTGATCCTGGGCACGTTGGCAACGATGCCCTCGACGGTGTCGTCGGTGATCGAGTTGCAGCTGGTCAGATCGAGGATGCGGAGGTGGTCAAAGAGGCGCTGCGAGGGGATGGGCGACGACAGGCTGGCCGAGGATGCGGCGGCGAAGCGCGCGGGGTCGTTGTCGGCATCGCCGTCGCCGGCGAAGCGGGCCGGCGAAGAGCCGCGGCTGGCCGGGGCCGATTCGCTGGCGTGGTATCCGGCCGAGGCGATGCTGGCTCGCAGGGCGAGGTTCTGGTTCGTGCCGAGCATAGGCACGCCCTTGCCGCCGCGCGCGCTGGGAAAGGCGTCGTCGGTGAGGTCGCCGCAGTGGGCAAGGCGGAGCTCGCGCATGTGGAAGCTCTTTTTCCAGATCTCGCGGACGGAGCGGTCGGTGATGTTGGGGCAGTTGATCATGTCGACCTCGAGCAGCACGGGGCAGTGGTCGGCCAGCGCGATGAGGGCCTCGTCGCCAATGTTTTCGCAGCCGCAAAGCTTGACCCTGCGGAGCAGCTTGCAGCTCTTTGCGAGCGCCACGACGCCGTCAGAGGTGATCTTCTTGCACCCGGTCAGGTTGATGCCCTGGAGGCGTGGGCAGTTGCGTGCCAGGGTCTGCAGCGTGCTGTCGGTGAGGTTGGCGACGTCGGTCAGGTCGAGGGCGACGAGCTGCTTTGTGTTTTGAAAGACGGTGATGAGCGTGTCGTCCTGGATGTGGCAGCACCCTGCCAGCGTCAGCCGCTCGAGCCTGCTGCAGGCGCTCATGCGGACAAAGAGCTTGTCCTCGAGCTGCGAGGCCAGGATGGTAAAGTTGAGGCGGCGGACAAAGTCGGCATAGGGGAAGAGCTGGTCGGGCTTGCGGATGACGGCGATCAGCTTGAAGAGGGAGGAGATCTTGTAGAAGCTGGGCCGGTGCCAGAGGAGCTCGACGCCGCATATGCACCATGCCTTGCAGACCTGGAGGCAGGCGAGCAGGTCCGGAGGGAAGGCTGCGACATAGCGGAAGATGTGGACCAGGATCTCGTGCGGCAGGCTGGTGGCCGAGGCGGCGTCGACGCCCATCAGGCTGGACGTATCCGACGGTGGTGGTGACGAGGTCGAGGCCGGTATGAGGGTGCCGCGCCTCGAGAGCCTGGCCCCGGACGTGGCGTTGAGCAGGATCGACTGGCGTGTGCCGAGGTCCTTGTCGTCGAGGTTGAAGGATGACGAAGCAAGGTCTGCAAAGTCCTGTCCATCGTCGGATTGGGACGTGTTGGAGGGGGAGGCGGGTGGCGGCGGTTGGTGGTCGGACTGGTGGGACGAGCTGAGGGTGGACGAGGCTGCGTCTGCGTCTGCGTCGTCGGTCATGCTGCGGTCGGAGATGGACCTGTGCGGCGCGGCTGGTGCAGGGAGCGAGACTGGGCGCGATGGGGCTGCCGCCGACGCGGGCTGGTCGGTAGCAAGGTAGGGCGACGGGGAGCGGGACGGCGAGTCGGGCAGCGAGGCCTGTGGCGATGATGCCGCCGTGTCTGCCATGGCGAGGGGCGTGGGCGAGAGCGTGGGCGAGGGCGCGGGCGAGGGTGTGGGCGAGGCTGCGTGCGTCGAGCAGAGGGCGTCGTCGTCGAATAGGGGGGTTGCAGCGGATTGGCTCAAGGATGAGGCAGTGGCTTGAGCTTGGATGGGCCGAGGCCGTGTGTGGCGCGGGGCGCTGCAGGTGCGCTGGGCAGGGTGGATGCGTCGAGCAGAAAGAAGCGGGAGCAAAGCGGCTGTCGATGCTGGCAAGGGGTTGACAAGTTGGTGAAGAGTGCGCCGGTTGATGACCGCTGGCCGAGGCGGTGGTTGTGGGCAGCGGGGCTCGAGCGCCGATGGAGGATGTTGCGCGGCGGCGGCGGCGGCGTTTGGTGGATGCTTGAAAGGGGCAGAGGCGCAGGCCGAGGTGCGGAAAGAGTGAAGAAAGAGGCGAGGAGGGTGGGTACGGCTGTAACGTGCAAGATGGGGACGGTGGTGGCAGTCGGGCGTGAGTGTGTAGGAGGACGGGAGAGAGAATGACAGTCGAGGGTCGAGAGACTAGTGAGAAGTGGTGAGCGAGGGCTTTGGCTGGCACTTTGGCCAGACGGGCAGGCGGGCAGGCGGGCAGGCAGGGTCGGGGGACCGCGTCGGGGGGCGTCTGCTCGTCTGGCCAGGCATGTGTGTGTGTGTGTCCCTGGCCGGCTCAGAGGCCTGCCCGATTGCCTGCTTGCCTGCTTGCCTGCTTGCCTGCTTGCCTGCTTGCCTGCTTGCCTGCCTGCCTGCCTGCCTGCCTGCCCTGCTTGCCTGCCGTGCCGCTACGCTGCCTGGCCTGGCTTCCTTGCTTGCTGCCCGGGGTGCAGGCAGGGCCTGCGTCAGGCGTGCAGCTCCCTGCTCCGCCGAGGGCGGCCAAGCTAAGGCGCCGGGGCCAACCGCCCTGCCGCTGCAACTCGAAAATTCAAAAGCCCGGAAGTCGGCCGGACCAACCTGGCCAGCCAGCCTGGCTCAAAGCAATCAAGGCTAGGCTAGCGAGAGACCCTAGATCCTCCTGCCGGCCGGCGTCTTTTTTGGGTGGCCACCCCTGCCCTGCCCTGCCCTTCCCCTCCTTCACCTTTCTTCATCCAACCCACCTTCTAGGCCACCCCTCACTCCGTCCCACCTAGGCTCTGTCGCGCTTGGCGCGGCTCAGGTGTCGGAGGATGAGCATCATGCCACAACCACCGGCGTCGTCCAGTCCCAAGGCTTCCGAGCGCCACCGCCACGACGACGACCACCACCACCACCATCTCGCCAGCACCGAGTCGCAGCGCTCCAGCGAACACGCAAACAAGCACCGCAAGGCACAGAGACACCACGCCGCCACACCCAACGGCCTCGTCAGCAGCGATGTACAGGCACCGCACCAGCCTGCGGACAAGGCGCACAAACACAGTAAGCGAGCAAACACCGACGCCGCCCAGGTGGGAAAACACAAGGACAAGGCCACACCGTCAGCGTCAAAGGCGAAGCACAAGAAGAGGAAGCGGGACGCCGCACAAGGCGATCGAGATGCCGAATCCCACGAGCCGCCCGTTCCGACGACGCCCACAAGGAGGAGGAGCAGGCACCGGGACGGCATCCCCACCCTCGACGACGAGATCACTGCCGAGGAAGAGGCCATGGGGCTCGCCCCGTCGCAAGACGACCAGACCGGCGACCGCGACCAAGCAGCCGACTCGGGACGGCAGGAAGAGGGCGAAAGCACCCGGACCAGCAGCAAAAGGACAAGAACATCAACGAAGAAGGCCAAAAAGGCGAGCAAAGACAAGGACGGGAAAAGGGCCAAGGGGAAGACGAAGCACACAGTCGACAAGACCAACGGGCGACGTCTCGAGCGCAGGGCGACTGCTGCAGCCGTTGAGCCAGCAGTGACCATGCCAACGGGGTCAGAAGCGGACGTTGCCCGTCGCAAGGACAGCCAGCCAGAAGACGAAGCATCCGGCGGGGCCAGAAAACGGCAGAGGAGGGGCAGCAGCGGTACGGCCAAGGCCAAGGAACTCAGTGCCAAGGAGCGATACCAGCAGGCGACCTGGAGAGCGCCCCGACAGGCCAAGCCCAAGACCGACCGCGAGCTCGCCGAGCTCGAGACGCAGAGGAAGGCGCTGGCGGCCTGGGCCAGGACGCAGAGCAAGAGCCACATCCTCGTCCACCGCTGCTTCTCGCGGCAGCAGCTAGGCTGGCTGACGGACGACATCGGACTCGAGTTTAAGCGCGGCCAGTTTACGCGACAGGAACACCAGACGCTGGTCGAGTTCGTCTCGACGTACAAAAAGGTGAGTGGTGCGGGCAGCCAGGAGGGAGGGGGGGGGGGGGGGGCAGAGGCGGACGAGGAAGCCGCTGATCAGCAGCGCTCCCTCCCTGTCCACGACACGCAGCGCAACAACATGTCCCACGACGTCTTGCTCGACATGGTCTTCGACGCCAAGAGGACCGGCATGGTGCGCGAGCACCGCGTCTTTTTCCAGGAGTGCGCGGCGGCGCTCGTCGACCGGGCCAACACGTCGGTGCGCACCCACGTCAAGACGTTCCTGCACCCCTACTACCGCAAGGGCTACTGGACGCTGGCCGAGCTCGAGGAGCTCAAGCTGTCGTTCCAGGAGCTCGGACACGACTTCAACGCCATCGGCGAGCGCGTGGGCCGCGTCCCCGTCAGCGTGCGCCACAAGTGGTTCGTCCTCGAGGACGCCCAGTACCGCGCCAACCTGGGCCCCTGGTCGGACCGCGAAAAGGCGAAACTGCGCCAGGCCGTCGCCGACTTCCAGCGGGATCGGCCGCGGACGCTGCTCATCTGGACCGACATCGCGCGCCAGCTGGGCGACCGGCGCCACCCGCGCGCCTACGCCGCGATGTGGCACTGCATGCGCGGCCTCAACCCGCTCACGCGCGAAGCCGAGGCGCGCGCCCGCGAGCTCGAGGCGCAGGGCGTGCCTCGCGACCAGGCCGTCGTGCTGGCGCGCAGAGAGTACAACCGCAAGGCGCACCGCGAGCGGAGGGACGCCGTCGGGATCAACTATGTCATCGACGACGACGAGGAAGACGTGGCTGCGCAGCCCCCCTCGGTCGAGGACGAGTGGAGGGCCAACGGCCTCCAAGGCGCCCCGGCCATGGAACCCGATGGCTGGGAGCCCGCGGTCGACGATTTGATTCTCTTGCAGAGGTGGGTAGTCGAGTTGCAGCCAGCCGGGAAAGGAGGGCGCTGATACCGTCTACAGGTGGTCGATCGATCGAGAGAGGCGGTCAAAAGCTTGCTTGCTGATCCCCGACCGTCGTGTGTTCGTCTTTCTCTCTTTCCCTTCGCTGCTTCCCCCCGACCCGCACCTGCGACGCTCTGCAGGCTGCGCTACCAGGCCGCGCCCAAGCAGAGCCTGATCAACTGGGCTGCGCTGGGCTTCGGGCAGTGGAACTGGCCGGGCGACGTGCTCGAGGCCAAGCTGGAGCGCATCCTCGAGGCGCGGCTGCCGTCGTGGTTCCGCAACAAGAGGAGCTGGCACGCCATCCTCGAAAAGGTCTACTGGCAGGTGGAGAAGGAGAACTTTGATCCGGGCTACGACCCGCACCACGAGCACGAGGCTGCGGCGGCGGCCAAGGAGGCTGCTACTGGTGCGAGGGAGGCGGGTGGCGCGGCCCCGCGGGCACAGGAGGCGTCGGATTCCGAGGTCGACGATGTGCCCTCGGACCTTGAGGAGTACATGGACGCCGGGGAGGAGGAGGACTAGCGGCCCGTGTGGGCGTGCGGATGACGTCCCGATGGTCGCGCGCCCAGAGCGGTCCCAAGTCTGTTGCAATGTCGAGGCGCAAGCCGCAAGCCGTTCCCGTCGGTTCTTGGTCGAGTCGAGTCGAGTCCAGCAGCGATCTGCCGACCGTCGAAACGGGCCTGAGAGGCAGTATTTGCATGGAGCGGAGACGCAGCAGCTCTAAGCATGCGTGCAAAGGCGCGCGCCGGGCAAGGCCCAAGGGATCGGCGCTGGGTCTTGATGCGGGCCTAGTCGTCGTCTTCGTCCGCTTCCTCATCTTCATCGTCCTCATCCTCATCGTCATCGTCATCACCGCCCTCTCGTCTCCGTACGGAGGCGGCGACGCCACCCTCAGGTTTGAGCCCAGAAGTCGAGTCGATTTCCTTTCCGATCCAGTCCTTCCAAGCGGTGAGGTGTGCATTGAGCTGGGAGCGGGATGCATCCATGGCATCCGCCAGGGCGGCCATGTGTGCCGCCCTTTGAGAAGTGTCGGAGGAGGCGACTTTGAGTGGCGTCTCGAATCTGGTGGAGGGCGAGAGGGTTTGCGCGGCGTTGTCGGACGAAGCTGGCAGTGGTCGGTCGGCGGGAGAGGGGATGGCGATGTGCAGCTCCGAGGTGATGGAGAGCGGGTCCGAGGTCGGTTCGATGGCCATCGCGTTGTCTTCTTTCGCGTGTGGGCGGAGAGGAGAGCGGGTAGGCGGGACGAGGACGGTGGTGAGGGATGAGAGGAGGGGCGGGAGAGGTCGAGGTGGGTGAAGGCAACAAGGCAACGAGGGGGCGGGCGCAAAGCGTCGACGTCGACCACCGCCGCCGCCGGTTGGTTGGCATCTTCGGATCCGGGCGCGTGTGGAGTTGGAGGAGGCGGGGGGGCCGCTCGCTGGTTTGGCTTGGGTGGGTGGATGGTGATGGCTCGAGCGGTCCGATGATGGCCGATGGCCGAGGTCGCCGCGTTGCCGCCCTCCCCCTCTCGCCATACCTCGTCCATCAACATCATCATCCTCCCTCAACTCCCGTCCTCCTCCTGGCGAGCCACCTCGTCTCCTTCCAACAAAGCCACAGCCACTGCCACTGCCACCACCATGCCTGTACGTCCCCACTTCCGCCGCCGCTGCTGCCCTCAGAGAGCCGTCGAAAGCCAGGCGCTCACTCCCTTCGTGGCTCTCCACCCTGCCAACGGCGGCCGTCTCGTCGCCCCCCTGCCCCTCCCTGTCCTGGCAGGCCTACCACTCGGCGTACAACGACGACCCGGAGGCGCGTCAGATCGGATCGATGGCGCTCCTCCCCATCCGCAGCAAGATCCGCGGTCCCGCGCCGCCGCCCGTCGACCCGTCGCAGATGGACATCGTCGACGAGTCCATCGACCTCTTTCGTGCCAACTCGCTCTTCCGCAACTTTGAAATCAAGGGCCCTGCCGATCGTGTGAGCCCCCAGACGTCTGCCGATCGACCCATCCCCCGCCGGCCCTTGTCCACTCTGTCTTGGGCCCAAGCATCCCGCAGCCCATGCTGACCTCGCCGAATCTACGATATCCTCGCCTGCCCATGTCGCTCACGGCTCTCGCCTGCCGCTTGACCACCCAACAGACGCTCATCTACCTGATCCTCTTCATCTCCGACTGCCTCACCAAGATCTCGAGCGCACGCATCCCCATGACGCAGAACGAGGCGCACAAGCAGCTCTCGACGTACGCCGTCGACGCCTTTGCGCTGCCCGGCGACGCCAACTTTCCCATGAACAGCCTCTACGCCGCGCCCGCGAATCGCGCAGACGCAGACGCACTCCGCTCCTACCTCACCCAGGCGCGGCAGGAGACGGCGCTCCGCCTCGTCGACAAAGTCTACATCGACGGCGTACCCTCCAAGTGGTGGCTCGCTTTTACCAAGCGCAAGTTGTGAGTCGAGTCAGCGCCGCATGGCTGACCTGACCATCCTTGGGCTCAGTCGTTTGTTCGGAGCGTTGCCTTTCTCTTTCTTGCTCGCTGACGCTGACGCACCCCCCGTTCCGCCACCTCCACCCCGTCCTTTTGCTTGCAGCATGGGAAAGAGCCTCAGCTAGACCATGCCTCGCACACCGACAGCCGGCATCCCCGCTTGGTAAAGGATGCTGCAGCTACCTGCAAGCTCCCCACACGAAATTCATTTGAAGCGGCAATGCAATTCTCCTCGAACCCATCACATCGACACGGGCAGCGTCGCTCGTCATCGTTCCCTACAGCTCGACACCGGCGTCGGCGAGGGCGCGGTCCAGCGCCTTGTCGAACTTCTTCCAGTCCGTCTTCTTGTTGGACCCAGCGGCAGGCTTGTCCGCGGACCGTCCAGACGGAGGTGTGCGGCGCTGCTTGTCGCCGCGCGGACTCGCGCCTGCCGATGGTACAGTCCACAGGCGCATTCCGGTGCAGATGACATCGTCGTCTGACGAGGCTGCGGTGGCCGTGGCAGTGGTCGTGGCGGTGGCCGTCGTCGTCGTCGAAGCCGGACGGCGACCGCGGGCATTGCGCCGATCCGACCGACCCGAGCGGACGCGGACGCGGACCGGCTGTTCCTCGGCCTCGTCTTCGTCGTCTCCCAGCCCACCCGCGGCGTCATCAGCCGACTCCTCGTCGTCTGCGATGGTCATCCGGGCCTTTCTTGGCTGCGAGGCGAGCCTGGGACGCTTGCGCACCGGTTGGACCTCTGCGTCCGAGCTCGACTGCGGTGGTGCTGGCCTCCTGGCTTTGCCCCGGCCTCCAGGCATCCCGCCTCCTTGCTCGCGGTGTCCCTCGGCCGGACGCCCGTTGCCGTCGGTGGACTCGTCGCTTCTGGGTGAGTCGGCTGGCCCTTGTCTTTGACCCCGGACGTCTGAGGCCGTGAGGCGCTCTTGAAAGGCGCCGCTGAGCGCAGTCTGCGACCGACATCCGCGTTCGGCGTCGGCAGTGTCGGATGCAGGCTGCCTTGCCGTGACAGGAGTGAGTCTCGTCTCGGAGGCACTCGGGTGGCCACGGTGATGTCCGGGCGCTTGATTGACACGGGAGGCCGAGCGTGTGCTTCGCCTCGGCCGGAGCACGGGGCTTGGGGCGTGTCCGTCATGGTAGCTCCTGTCGCTGTCGCGCTGCTTGGCATAGTCGCCATCGTCGTCGTCGTCGTCGTCCGGAATGACGATGCATTCGGTGCCGCCGCTCATTTCGTCGCCTTCGCTGTCGTCGGAAGCGGTGGTCTCGCAGCTGAGCGTCTCTTCCCCACGGCTCGAGGGTACCCAGTCGTCGTCCTTCTTGCAGGTCCGCCAGTTGAACGGCTTGACTTCGACGCAGGGCTCTAGCTCCATGTCCCAATCTTCGTCCTCGTCCTCGCTCTCGCTCTCGTCAGTCTCGTCGCTCTCCTCGTCGCCGTGGTGATCTGCGCTGCCCTTTTTGGCCGGAAACAGCGGCGAGAGGTCAACATAATAGCGTCGGACGCCTTGGAAGGGCGAGAGTTCGACGACAAACTCGTGGCCACGCGATCCAGCTTTCGCCGGCGCGTTGTCGTCGACGAGGGAGATGCAGCTTGCCTCGAGCTCTGGGAAGGGGTCGTGGCCAAAGTCGTAAGACCAGGGCAGGTCGACGGGAGTCGCCGTCCGCGTCCGGCAGGAGCCCATCGAGATTGAGATTGAGGAAGGGGGACTGGGCGAGAGGGGGATAGGAGGCCCGCACAGCTCGCTGCGCCGGCGTTCGAGCCGCCATTGGCTCGGAAACGAGCGGCGGATGCGTTGGACCTTTTTGTCGATAACCTCGCTGGATGGCTCGACGCGCTCGAGCTCGAGCTCGGTCGAGTCGTCGTCACTGGAACCGAACGAGTCTGAGCTGTCGAGACTGGTGGAATCCTCTTCTGTGTCTGTCGACTCGGTGGTCGAGCTGACGAGGTCGTCAAGCGGCTCGGCGCGCGGATCGAGGACGAGAGCCGGCGGCCGAGGCGGAGCGGCGACGGGGCTGGGAAGGAGGAGGGGCGAGGGCGACCTGGCAAGGATGCGGTCGAGGCTGTCGTCCGAGGCCGCGTCGAGGTCGTCGAAGAGCAGCTGGGGATTGATGCACGACGACGGCTGCGGATCGAAGGTATCGGACTCCGGTAGGAGGGCGCGTCGAGCCGGCTTGAAGGCGGCGTCGAAGAGGTCATGGCGGTGGCTATCGAGGGCCGAGGAGGAGGAGGTAGCGAACGCATGGAAACGCGAGTCGTCGCGGGGCGCAGAGGGGGCGCTGGAAGGCAGCGAGGTGCTCCAAGCTGGAGAGAGGAGGAGGTCGGTGAGGAGGAGGGACGTGTCGCCGTCGCCGCGGTGCAGACACGGCAAGTCGGCCTGCACCGCTGCCGGCCCGGGATGGGATGAGGTGTGCATTGCGAGACGACAGCGGTACGCGCTCACACAGAGACGGAGAGGGTGGTCAAGAAGAGAGGATGGGAGCGGAGCGGGGCGGGGCGAGGTGAAGCGGTGCCAGGCGCAGTGCCGCTGTCGTGGCAGCCGGTCGCTGTCGCCACGGTTTGCGACGTCAAGAGTGGCGGGCGGAGGAGGATGCTGGCAGGCTGGATGGCGAGGGCTTTCCACCCCGGTCGCGTCTGGCCGTCCGTCCGTGAAGAGGGCGCGGATGAGATCGACGGGTGTGTGCGCAGCTGTGCGTCTCCTCTGCTGGCCGGCCGCGCATCCGCTCCCAGGCGGAAAGGCCCAGCCTCGGCGCGCGCCGCGGCCGACCGACCAAGCAAGCGCACCACGCGCACCCACGGTCGCTTCCGCCGCCTCCGCAACCTAGCTGACTTTGCTTGGGCCTTTGCGTCCGGTCCCTGTTCGTGCGCACAAGCTCGTAGGCGGATGCGCCCCGTCGGCGGCAGGCCAGCTGCTAGCTGCTGTCCGGTCGAGCCGCGCCGTTGCTTCATTTGATGTGCTAGCCTTCCTCAAACCTTGCTTGCTTGATTTATTTCCCCTTCATGGCTGCGCATGACGACGAAGCAAGCCCGGCCCAGCCAGCGGCCCAAGGGCCAAGCGACACCCAAGCGGACACCCGCCAAAGAGGAGCCAGTGTGGGCCCCTCTGCCCCGCCACCGCCTCATCCCAGCACTCGCCACTCGTCGTCGAGGAGCTCCTCGTGCACGTTAAAGTAGCGCGACGGCTTGCCCTCGACCTCGCACCGCCCCTCCATCTTCCACCCATCGCCGGCCTTTGTCCGCGTCGACGCATCGTACTTGACCACCCACCGACCCACAACCTTGCCCGTCTTGACATCCACCGTCTCCGAGACGACCTTTGTCACCGCCGCCGCCGCCGCCGCCGCCGCCGCCTCGCTCCCCGCATCTGCATCCGAGCCCTCGAGGGCCAGCGGTGGTGGCGAGTTGGTAATCTCCCACGTCGCAAACGGCCGCGACGTGGCGCGCAGGAAGCCAGGCTCGAAAACCGTCGTCACCTGCGGCCGCAGCGTCCAGCTCACCGTCTCGATCCGGATCCTGGGGCTGGCCCCCTTGTCACCCGCCAGCAGCTGCATCCGTCCAGCGTACGGCTGGCCGATCCAGGCGATCAGCGCCGTAGAGACCCCAGACGTCGACAGCGCCGTCAGGCACAGGCCGATTCGCCCCGCCATCGACACCTCGCCCGGCGCCAGGAGCAGGATGGGCGTCAGCGTGCCCGCCAGCGCCAGCGATCCCAGCGAAAACAGCTTCAACCGCGTAAAGGTGCCGGCCAAGGGTCCCTGGTAGTGCGCCAGAGCATTGCTCGGATCTTCAACCTTGGCATTTGCGGGCGTCTTTGGGCTTTGCGGCGACGAGGTGCTGTTGAAGCGCGCCAGAGTGTGCGGCCGAGGCTGCCGTGCGACCTGGCTCAGAGTCGGATGCCGGCTGCCAGCATGCCGAAGCGCATTGACAGTGGCCGCGGGCAAGGCCGAGCGGGCTCGGCTGCCAGTCGAGACGCAGCGCCTCGCCCAGCCGGTCAGCATCCTGGCGTGGCTGCCACCAAAGCGACGGCCCGCTAGCCCAGTCATCAGGAGCAGCGTCGACATGGTCGCCGGCATGGCCGGTTCAGATCCCGAAGCCGACCGCTGCTGAGGTGGAGACGGCAAAAGGTAGCAAGGTGGCGGCTCGTCAGAGTCTGCGAACGGCGCGATCAAGAGGGCCAGCGATGCGCCAGAGCGGGAAGCCGTGATGCACGATGGCGAGCGGAACACTCTATTCCCGTTGCGGAGAAGCCCTTTACACGATCCGATGTTCCGCCCGGCTGCCCTCCGTGTCTATCCCACACAGTCTCGCTGCCTTGCCGACGCTCCAGGTCACGTCACGCCATGTCTGTCCACCGAAGACTCCACACGGTGAGCCACTTGTTCCTCATCTTTACGTCGCCCTCGGTCTCTGGGCCGTAGCCGTCGACCAGGAACAGCCGCCGGTTGCCCGTGAGCCGGGGCTCGTCTGCATGCTCCTCGACCTCTACGTCGGCCGATGCGCTCGCATCCTCCTCGGTGGAAGCGACGGGTTTGTTGCCACTCACTTCGAGCTCCAGGATCCTCTCTGCAGAGTGGACGAGGGCATCATCTTCGACCTTGGTACCGTTCGGAACGGGAGTCGATGCCGCGAGCGACGGCCAGAGGGGTTGGGACGAGGGCGGTGCGATGGGTGCCAGTCCGAGGCCCGCTCGGTGCGCACGCCGAAGGAAGCCAGTGATCTTTTCCCTGCCCGTGTGCAGGCCGGCGATGACGTGGACGCGGGCATCTGCGGTCCTCGCCAGGGTCGAGGTGAGCGTCTTGAGGAGGTCGGCGTGCGAGAGCGGGTCCCACAGGCAGTCGGCCATGAGGATGGCGTCGAACCTGGGGGCTGCCAGGCCGGATCCGACAAGACCTGCCGCGCCGCCGCCGAGGGCCGGCCTCGGAGTGGGCAGGCAGTCGAGGAGCTCGTCTACGTTTTTGCCCCAGATGTGGCCGCACACCTTGATGGCGGAGCCATTGTGGGGCTGCTGGGGCGAGTTTGCGCGGACGTTGCGCTTGAGCTCGCTGACGATGGCAGGCTCATCGTAGTCGGAGGCGACGACGAGCTTGGGCGTGCCGAGGAGCGCCGCCGTGATCGAGGGGAGGCCGGTCCCCGCGCCGAGCTCGAGGACGGTCTTGCCGGCAATGTCAAAGGCGCCCGAGACGAGAGCGTCAGACATGAGCATGCCCGCGCGCCACTGGCGGTGGTTGAAGATGTGGTGGATCGAGGCGGGGGGCACGCTGACAGTGAGCGTGGGGCAGAGGTGCGACGGCGGTTGGGATGCGGCTGCGGCGGCGGCGGCGGCGGCGGCGGTCGAGCCCAGGAGGAGCTGCTTGGGGCGGTAGCTGATCCGGATGCCCGGCTGGCCGAAGGAGGGGGGCACGTGGCTGGACATGCCCGGCGCCGCCGAAGCGGACGGCGGAGTGGGCGGCGGTGGTGGCGATGAGCGTCTAGGAGATGCCATCCTGGACAGATGCGGACGGGAGCGAGCGGGGCGAGGAGGAGTGGTGGTAGAGGAGGCGAGCGGCCAGACGGCAAGGCCCCTGGCACAGAGGGTCGGACCGGACAAGGCAGCCTTCCCTACTCGCAGGTGATCGCCCTCGGAAGAAAGATGGCAGGCCAGCCGGACCCTGGTCAGTCTCAATGCAGGCAAGAGTGACAACGCGAACGTGGCGGCAGACGCTTGAAATGAATGAGACTCTGGCGGTGCAAGCCAGGCAGCCCGCCAGCCAGAAAGTGGAATTTTCGAGGCGGCTGGCGGCTGGCGGCTGGCGGGTGCGGCCCGGCTTGGCGGCCCACCGCTGTCCAGCAGCCCGCAGCAGCAGCAGCTGGCTGCTCTTTCTTCTCGCGAGCGCCATCCCCTCGCCGCTTCGCTGAGCTCATCCATCATCGCCCAGACACCACTTGGCACCAACATCCCCCTCAAGTGTGATCTGGTCACCAACACTCATCGCCTCTCGTCCTCCAACGCCAGCTATAGCATAGCACAGCACATTCGACCCTCAATCGCGGTAAAGGCACCCGCTGCAGCTCACGCCCGGCATGGTCTTCAACGCTCTGGCCAGGCAGGCCGGTCACAGGCTCCCGCGCAGCCCCCTCGCCACGCCCGTAGCTAGCCGCACGCTGCCGGCAGCCCTCCCTACAGCAGTCGCATTGGCGAGGTGCTACGCAACACCACCACCACCGTCGTCGTCGTCGTCCGGCAGCGGCAAAAAGGCTCCCGCTGACCCCTCCGAGCAGCAGGCTGCCGCCTCCCAGGCCTCGGCTTCCGACGCACCCTCAGCCACCACCGCCGATGCCGCCGCGGACGCATCTTCGACTTCGGCCCCGCTTCCCAAGCGCGGATCCTCCTCGCTCTTCGACATCGACACCTCCGAGAGCGCATTCGCCCAGCAGATGATCGAGTCGCAGGACGGGTCCGACAAGGACGCAAAGGGCGGTGGAAAGACGGGCGCGAGGCCAAAGGGCGCCCGGTCGATGTCTTCGATCGAGAAGAAGCGCCAGACGACCACCCGCTTCTTTGGTGGCCTCGCGCTCATCGGACTCGGAGCGACGGCAGCCAACATGGGCCGCGACTGGGACAGCGAGGCGGAAAGGCAGCGTTTCGTTGAGCAGGTGAGTCGCAGCATAAGGCACCCCTTTCGGCCCCACATCCCCCTCTTCTACGCTCGCTCGTCGCTCCCGCAGCCCGCATCTTTCTAGGCCCCCCTCGCTCACGGGTAGCGAGGTCGAGGTTGTATTGAGATGCAACATGGAACACCGCGTGCGGCACCACGGGGCGCGGACGCCTCTCGCGGCATTTGCGTCCTCGTTGCCGCTGCATGCTTGCTTGCTTTGGCACTGCCAGCTCGACTTGACGATGCACCAGGAGCTGGCGGTGTGATGCGAGCAGACATCCATGACCCGCGCTTCGAAGCAAGGGTATTCCCTGGCGCCGCCTCCCGTTGGCGATCAGCCCGCTGACACCCGTCTGCCTCCCCGCGTCCCTATCTGATGACGCCCTTGGCGCTGCTCGATCGCAGACCAAGGACAGCGACAACTTCTTCTCGCGCATCAAGTTCCGGGTGACGTCCATGTACGAGGACCTCAACAAGCCGGCGTGGGAGCAGCTGCTGCCCGACCCGCTCCCCTTCCCCTACTCGCGGCCCTATACCCTGGTCATCGACATGGACGACCTCCTGGTGCACTCCGAGTGGAGCCGCGAGCACGGCTGGCGCACGGCCAAGCGGCCCGGCCTCGACTACTTCCTGGGCTACCTCTCGCAGTGGTACGAGATTGTCCTCTTCACGACGCAGCCGGCTTTCACCGCGGCGCCGATCGTCGAGAAGCTCGACCCGGACCGCCGCTACATCGCCTACACTCTCTTCCGCGAGAGCTGCCGCAGCGTCGACGGCAAGCTGGTCAAGGATCTCGACTACCTCAACCGCGACCGCAAAAAGGTCGTCGTCCTCGACACCAAGCCCGACTCGTTTGCGCTGCAGCCCGAAAACGGCATCCTGATCAAGCCCTGGAAGGGCGAAAAGGCGGACCGCGACCTGATCGGCATGGTGCCCTTCTTTGAAGGTGAGTTCGTCGGCGGCCGGCAGGCTGTTGCACCGGGCGACCCGGCCCGGCGAGGCGAGTCTGATGACGGATGCTGACCCTTGCACGCACCCCATGGACCTCCGCGCGCGACATGGCCGTGCCCCCCCCCCCCCCCCCCCCCTCCCCCCGGCAGCCATCGGCATCTACAACATCGACGACGTGCGCAACACGATCAAGGCGTACGAGGGCAAGCACATCCCCACCGAGCACGCCAGGCGGGCCAACGAGATCCGCGAGCGCGAGCTGGCCGAGATCCGCGCCAAGAACGAACGCCTGGGCAAGCTCGGCGGCCTCTTTGGCGGCATCGTGAGTTGCCTTCCGCCCGCCGTCGATGATGGTGCACCGCTCGTCGTACGTACAAGACGCTGACGTCGTGCCTTTCAAAACCCTTTTTGATTCGCGACTCTGTAGAAATCCGCCGGAGCTGGTCCGGCACCGGACAAGACGTGGTACGAGATGGAGCGGGAACGGTACCAGGCCGGATACGCCGAGGACCTCAAGTACTGGCGCGAGAATGGCGAGGCGTTGAGGAAGCAGGCAAAGGAGGAGCAGGAACGCCAGATCAAGGAGATGAAGCTCAACGCTTGGAGGTGAGTCCGCGCCCTGCAGGCCCCTGCGGCCCCCCCGCGACTTGGCCCTCTCGCTCGGCATTGTTACGGCGCTGCGCTATCCCGGCGCATCGCAGTGAGCACCGTTGACTGACCCGATCCGATCCGATTCGGCCCTTCTCTTCCTCATCTTGCCCCGCACGCCCCCCCGCCACATCTACGTATCAACCAGCGTCATTACGGGTCAAGGCCTCAAACCCCCCGGTCAGGAAGATGGCGCCGCTCCCCCCCAGCAGCAGCAGCAGCAGCAGTAACAGCAGCAGCAGCAAACGACACCGATGCCAATCTGTCTGACAAGACGCCATAGACGCAGCTCTGCCCCTCTCTTCCCTCCCCCTCTCTCCGTCTTGTCTGGACCGTGTATTCTATCCCTCGTCTGCACGCACACGCACACGCACACACCATTCATCACATCCCATCTGCACATACCGAACAGGCATCCCACACTCTGGCGCTACCACCCCGGTCCATCCTGACGAACATCTTGGTATTCCCGGGCCCCCCCGCTCGCCCTCTCTGTTCGCGGCCGTCATTGCTGGAAGAGCAGGCTAGCAGCCACCTCTACATTCCCACCAGCAGCATCCAGGAACCCGATGGCCTGCACCCGCGACGCGCCGAGGTCCATGAGCGACGTGATCGACGCCTCCGGCCACCGGCTCGCTCCTCCAGCCGCACCGGTGGCACCTGCCGCACCCCTCGGTGCTGCTGTCCTCGCAGCGGCTGTCGGCGACGTCGTCGCTGGCGATTGGGCGGCGGCGCCGCCGCCGCCGCCGCCACCGGCAGCAGCAGTCGACGAGGATGAAGCGGCTGCTGCTGCTGGAGGATGCGAGAACGAGAAGCCGTACGACTCTGGCGCCGCCCTCGGCTGCGCCTGTCCGCTCGACGACGCCGCCGTCCCGCTTCCGATCCCTGCAATGCTCTGCCCAGCGCCGGGGAACGATGCGCTCTTGGCCGCCGCATCAGCCGCCGCCGCATTGGCATTGGCCGAGGCGGCTCCCAGAGCTCCTGCCGCCGCCCCCGCCCCAGGTGCTCCGCCGCCGGAGGGCTTTGCCGACGCGGGGACCGGCTGGCCGTTTTCGTCGACCTCGTACTCCATCTTTGCCTCTTGCGGCAGCTCGTGCTCGTCGAGGAAGCGGATCCTGTTGCCCTGGATCACGAGCGAGTTCTGGGCAAGATCGATGGTGGCCTGGTACCGCTTGAGCATGTCGAGGCCAAAGAGCATCTCGACGCCCTTGCCCTGGGGAGCCACAGGAAGAGGAAGAGGAAGAGGGGGAAAGGGGAGTGGGCCAAAGGGTCAGCATGGAGGTGGAAAAAGGCGTCTCGGCGATGCGTGGCACGGCCCGCTGCGGCCCGCTGGCGACGACTCACCTCCATGATGGTAAACGAGCAGGGCAGAAAGAGGGTGGGTCCGAGCTGGATCTGGGCGCTGTGGACGCGGCCGAGGATCTTTGCGGTGCCGACGCCGCGGGCGATGCCGGCGAAGCGCGTGTCGAGGAGGCGCATGATGCCGCAGCGCTCGGCGCACTCGGGGCTCATGATGGTGGCCTGCGCTCCCGAGTCGACAAAGGCCTTGACGTCGGTGCCGTTGACCTTGCAGTCGACGTAGAGCATCGTGACGCGGCCAAACGACTCGGGGCTGTACTCCATGGCGTGCTCGAGGTTCTCCATGACGCGCTCCTGCCGGATGGCCTCCTCGATCCTGCGCTGCGCATCGATGTCGAACTCGTCGGCGGCCGCGAGCTGCGCCTCCGCGCGCAGGCGTTCGGCGTGCACCTCGGCCATCTTGTTGCGCTCGGCGCGGACGAGCTCGAGGAAGCGTGCCGGGTCCGACGAGGCGGCGTCGGCGAGTTCTGGACGGCTGGCGCGGAGCTGCGCCATAGTGGTGGGGTCGGAGAGGATCTGCTGCCTGAGCTGCTCGGCCGCCTCGTGTTCGTTTGAAGGCGGCGCTGAGGCAGACGAAGAGGAAGAAGACGAGGAGGCTGGCGGTGCGGCGGCACGAGCGTCCCTGAGGAGGACGAGGTCGTCTGAGCCGACGCCGTAGGACGAGAGCGTCTTTGTGTCGTCTGAGAGCAGCTTTCCGTTGTGGAAGAGCTGCTGGTGGGAGGCGGGGATGGACGAGTCTGCCTCGATGAGCGCCTTTAGGTTTTCGACTTCGATGCTGGCGTCGACATCGACGGGGTAGGTCTGATCGCCCTCGGTCACGATGGTGATCATGGCGTGGCGCAGCGAGGTGTCGAGGTGAGGGATAAGAGAGGCGGAAGGAGAGGAGGAGGGCGGGCGGGCGAGGCAGTAGTGAAAAGGGGCAAGGGAGTGGTAGGAGGGGGCAAGGAAGGCTGCAGCGACAAGGAGGCCGCGTACGTCTACCTTTGCCCCTCTCTCTCTGCCTTGGCTCCACGCGGCTCAGCCGACGTTTGGTTGTTGGCCCCAGCCACCAGACTGGAAAAGTGGAGCAGGCCTCGTCAGCGGCTGGCCTCCGACGGCCGCCCTGGCCTGGCCTGACCTGGCCCCTGCGTCGCCCGACGCCCGACGCCCACGCCAGCTCGCTCTCTGGGCCGCCGGCGGGGCCGAGGCACAGCCCAGCCCAGCCTGGCCTGGCCGAGCTTAGCCCACGGCCTCGGGCCAACGCAACTCGACCACCCTAACCACCATCACTTGTTCCTGCGCCCACCCAGCCCGAAACCGCCTCGCCCTCGCCTCCCTCCGTCTAGACAACGGTCCATCACGGAACCGCGCCGACCAAGCTCATCGGACACGACAACGACCGCCACCAGCGCAACTCTACGCACGGCATGGCTGGATTCCTCGGAGGGCGCGGCGGCAACGACGGCAATAGGGGCTACGGCAGGGTCGGGTCCAACCCTTACGGCGACAGCGCCGGCGCCACCGACCCTTACCGCGATGCCCGCTCCGCCTACACCACTCCCGGCAGCGCCGCGCGGCAGGCCGCCACAGCAGGCGGTCTCGGCGGCGCGGGCCGCGCTCCTCCGCCCTCGCAGTCCGCCTACCGATCCGGTGGCGCTGGCTTTGGCGGCGCTGGCTTCGCTTCCTCCGCACAACCTCCCCCAAGTTATGGCTCCGAGAAGCCCCTGCCCTCGTCGCGCGGCGGCGGCGGCGGCGGTCACCTCATCGTAAAGTGCCCCGAGCAGCTCGTCCTGACAAACTGCCTCATCGTCAACCCTCAGGAGTGGGGCAGCACCCAGTACGTCCAGGTCGACGGCCAGTTTGTCTTCACCGCCCTGCCAGACTCGACGGGACAGATTGCCCCGCGGACGCTGGGCACCGCTATGCTCCAGCGCCAGTGGGCCGGACTCAGCGCGCAGGGCCACGAGGTGCAAGCGGAGCCCTACGACCCCTTCGTCTTTGGACAGAGCGTCTACCTGGGCGGCCTCGACCTCGAGATCGGCTTCCTCCGCCGGGGCGAGGTCGTCTCCGAGTCGTTTGACGCAGACGAGATGGCCAAAAACTTCCTCCGCGCCTTTGACAGCCACATCTTCACCGTGGGCCAGCTGCTCGTCTTCGAGTTCCGCGGCATGAACCTCAAGGCCACCGTCAAGGGCGTCAACGTCGTCGAGCTCCACCAGGTGCAGCAGAAGGGCAAGGTGCCCGACTCGGCCCCTCCCGGCCGCGCCGACAAGGGCATCCTCATCGCCCAGACCGACGTCAACTTTATGTCGTCGCCCGACGGCGGCGTCAAGATCAAGGCCAGCGGCAGGCGACCCCCGCCCAACGCCATCCTCCAGCAGAACTTCAAGTTCGAGGACATGGGCGTCGGCGGCCTCGACAAGGAGTTTGCCAACATCTTCCGCCGCGCCTTTGCCTCGCGCATCTTCCCGCCGGCGCTCGTCGAGAAGCTCGGCATCCAGCACGTCAAGGGCATCGTCCTCTACGGCCCGCCCGGCACCGGAAAGACGCTGCTGGCCAGGCAGATTGGAAAGATGCTCAACGCCCGCGAGCCCAAGATCGTCAACGGACCCGAGGTGTTTGACAAGTACGTCGGCGGCAGCGAGGAAAACGTGCGCAAGCTCTTCGCCGACGCCGAAAAAGAGTCCAAGGAGAAGGGCGACGAGTCCGGCCTGCACATTATTATCCTCGACGAGCTCGACGCCATGGTGCGCCAGCGTGGCTCGGGCGGCGCGGGCGCCACCTCGGCCGGCGACAATGTCGTCAATACGCTGCTCGCCAAGCTCGACGGCGTCGAGCAGCTCAACAACATTCTCGTCATTGGCATGACCAACCGCCTCGACATGATCGACGAGGCGCTGCTCCGCCCCGGCCGCCTCGAGGTCCACATGGAGATCAGCCTGCCCGACGAGTTCGGCCGCCGCCAGATCATCAACATCCAGACCAACAAGATGCGCACCAACGGCGTCATGGACGACGACGTCAACATCGAGGAGCTCGCCGCGCTCACCAAGAACTTTTCGGGCGCCGAGATCGCGGGCCTGGTCAAGAGCGCCACCTCGTTTGCCTTTAACCGCCACGTCAAGGTGGGCACCATGGCCGGCATCTCGGACGACGTCGAAAACATGAAGGTCAAGCACCGCGACTTCCTCGACGCGCTCGAAGAGGTGCGGCCGGCGTTTGGCGTGGCCGAGGAGGAGCTGCAGCAGGTGGTGCAGAACGGCATCATGCACTTTGCGCCCCACGTCGACGCCATCCTGCGCGACGGCCACCTGCGCGTCGAGCAGGTGCGCACCAGCACGCGCACCCCGCTCGTCACGGTGCTCCTCCACGGCCCGCCGGGCTCGGGCAAGACGGCGCTGGCGGCCACGGTGGCCATCTCGTCCGACTTCCCCTTTATCAAGCTCATCTCGCCCGAGAGCATGATTGGCATGGGCGACGCGCAGAAGATCAACTTCCTCAACAAGGTCTTCCTCGACGCCTACAAGTCGCCGATGAGCATCATCGTCATTGACAACATCGAAAAGATCATCGAGTGGGTGCGCATCGGGCCGCGCTTCTCCAACTCGGTGCTGCAGACGCTGGCGGTGCTGCTCAACAAGCGGCCGCCCAAGGACAAGCGGCTGCTGGTGCTGGCGACGACGTCGAACCGGCGGATGCTGCAAGAGATGGAGATGCTCAACGCCTTCATCGCCGAGATCACGGTGCCGTCGATTACGTCGCTGCAGAGCGTCGACCACGTGCTGCGCCAGATGGAGCTGTTTGGCGACGAGCAGGCGCACGCCCGGTGCATGCAGCTGCTGGCCAACGCCGGCCTGGCCCAGGAGGGCCAGCTCAACATCGGCATCAAGAAGGTGAGTCGAGGGGGTTGCCTGCCCGTCTACCTGCCCTGGAAAGAGGCGCATGCACGGGAGAGCTCAAAGCTGAATTGCCCGCCTGCCCTTTTGCCCCTCTGTCGTCTCCAGCTCCTGTCCGAGATTGAGATGGCGCGACTCGACAGCGATCCGGCCGACCGCCTGGCGTCGTCGCTGAGCTCGGTGCACGCCTCGGCCCTTGACGTTGACCTCGACCTCAACTAGACGACGACTTGCCCGCCCAGCTGCAGGGCGCCGGGCCGATGCATGCATGTACAAGTGCCGCCACCCTCTGACGAACAATCATAACGATGCACCAGACCCCACGGCCTCTTAGGCGGGGATGCCGCGAGCCCAGAGTTGAAGCAGCGTGGCGATATCCTTGCGCCAGCGGGTGCGGTCGAGGGCTTCGTCGAGGCTGAACCACTGACGGGTGCGCTCGTCCTGTTCCGGCCACTGGGGCAGCTGGCCCTGTTGGCCGTCGACGCGGACCTCGTGGGCGGTGTAGATGGCTCGTGGGACGAATCCGGGCGAGGTCGGGTCCTGTGCGGGCGACTTCTTATGCGGCTTGTGGTCGGCGATGACCAGGTCTGCTTGTGCCGTGCTGGAGATGGAGGGTGACTGGACGGCAGATGGCCTCAGGCCCGCTGGCAGGCAGGTGGGCAAGGGGAGCACAAGTGGCGGATGGGTAAGGAGGAGAGTGCGTGAGATAATGTCGCCCGTCGTGAAACAGCGGGTGGGGACGAGGAGGTCCGACCGACTCACCTTCCTCGTAGAGCTCCCGGACGGCTGCCTGCAAGGAGGTCTCGCCCTGTTCGATGCCGCCTTTGGGCAGGACAAAGGCGCCGGGATGCTTGCGTGACGAGACGAGGCAGACGCGGACGCGATGCTGCGTGACCGCCTGCTGCGCCGCTTTGCCTTGAGCCCCGGCTTCGGCTTCGGCTTCGGCTTCGACCCGGTACGGTATTGCCACGGCCACGGAGCGAGGCTGGACGTAGGCTGGGCGGGCAGACGAGGCGAGGCGAGGCGGGGCAGGGCAGGGCGGGTGGGGTACACAAGGACGAGTGTTCCCTCGGACGGTGGAAAGAGGTCAGCACGGTGCGATCCCCTCCGGAGGAGGAGCAGCCTGGACGTTATGGGCATGCCGTATCTCACACTTCATGTCTGCAGGCAGGCTGACAAACAGCGTTGATGGTGATGGCGGAGGCGCAGGCCGAGGCGGTGGCGGTGCAAGGCTCACGGTGGTCGTGGAAGGAGGATGGTATGCGCACCGTGCGCTGCCAGGGCGTGTGGAGGGAATCTCGGCGCAGGCTGAGGCCAAGGCCAAAGGCTCACGCTCACGCTCAGGCTCGGCCAGAGGGGCGAGGCGAGGCGGGGCGGGCCGTCGCATCGCTCGTCTCTGGCAAAGTCGCTGCAAAAATTGCCGGTCAAAGTCGAGCGGGCGGCTGAGGCTCGAGCCAGCCCAACGTCAGAGTGACCATCACCCATCCGGACCGCCGCCCTCGCCGTAGCCATCGCCCTTGGCCCTCGACGCCGCCTATAGCCTCTGCTGCTGCCTCGACCTGCCCGGTGCCCCTGACCTGACCACCTGCACTCGCCCCTCCGCCACCTCTGCCGGCTTGCTTCCGACGCGCCGACACCACCCTCGCTCTCGCGGCATCCGTCCCGACGCCAAACGACCGTGCACCAGCTCCTCGGGTCGATCCGAAACCGGGGGCCACCTTGACCTTGCTGTGCTCGTGTGCCCCACTCAGTCGACCAAAGACGATCCTGGCCAGACTAGCAGCCTCTGGCTCAGTCTCAAACCTCGCTCTCCCCACCCATGGTAGCCCCCAGGATCCTCAGCGGCTGCCCCTTGCCACGCTCGCGGCTCCAGCCCGCCACCTCGTCGCGCCTGCCCTTCCTCGCCACCTCATCATCACCACAGCCATCCTCGGCCCCGCACTGCCCCCATCGTCCTCGCCTGACCCCGCTCCCACGCAGCCTGCCCAGCACGTCAAACGCCTTTTCCACCTCGACGCCCTCGTCCCGTCCCTCGTCGGGCTCAAAGCAGCAGTGGAAGCCGCCCACCCCCTCGGCCACCGCCTACCAGAAGCAGAGCAGAAAGGAGTGGGTCCTTGTCGGCGTAGCTGGCTCCGCAGCCGCAGTCGGCAGCTGGTACTACTGGTCCAACATCCGTCCACGCCACCAGGCCGCCAAAAAGGCCAGCCTCGGCGACTCGCGCCCCTTCAGCCTCACCGCAGACGTGCGCACCTCGTTCTCCATCCCCGTCCGCAACCACCAGGTCGGCGGACCCACCACCAAGGTGATTTCGACACTCTCCTCGGCCGAGGTCGACCGGCGCCTCACGGAGAACGAGCGCAGCACCCGCGTCGATCGACCTCCCGGCGCCTGCCTCGTCGCCCGCTACGACACCAACAGCGTAGCCTCAAACGACCCCATCGAGGACAAGCGCGCAGAGGTCATCGTCGAACGGGACCGAGGCGTCGCAGAATGCGACCGCCCAAGCGACATCAGCGGTAGCGACGGCGCGCACAAGGCCGTCGGCGCCACCGCCAGCGTCGAGGAGGCCCAGTCGCAGGCCGCGGGCCAGCCCGCCAAGGGCGACCTCTGCTTCTTTGCCGTCATGGACGGGCACGCGGGCTACCACACCTCGACGCTGCTCTCGCAGAAGCTCATCGCATTTGTCGCCCTCGAGCTCGACAAGGTCTTCCGCGAGGCCGGAGAGTACGGCCAGGTGGCCAAGGCCAAGGCGGCCATGCCGTCCAAGCTGTGGCGCTCCATCTTTGGCGGCCCGGCCAACGCCGCCAGCGCCGGTGGCCTCGACGGCGATCCCGAGGTCATCAAGCGCGCCATCGCCAAGGCCTTCCGCAGCCTCGACAAGGAGATTGTCAACACGCCCGTCGAGCTGCTCAAGGAGTACGAGCTGAGCCTGGCCACCACGTCGTCCAGCTCCGCCTCGCCCGCCTCGCCATCGCGCGTGACGGGCGCCACCGGCACCCGCTCCCTCTCGTCGCTCGCCCACAGCATCTTCCCCACGTCGTCCAACGCCACCTTTACCGCGACGCAAAAGTCGGCCTACGAGAGCATCCTGCCGGCCCTGAGCGGCAGCTGCGCCCTGCTGACCTACGTCGACAGCGCGCGGGAAGACGTCTACGTGGCGTGCACGGGCGACAGCCGAGCCATCGCCGGCTACTGGGACGACAAGGCGGGCAAGTGGGAGGTTGAGGCGCTCAGCGTCGACCAGACGGGCCGCAACCCGGACGAGGTCAAGCGCATGAAGTCCGAGCACCCGGCCTCGGAGTCGGAGCACGTCATCATGCGAGGCCGCGTCCTCGGCGGCCTGGAGCCCACGCGCGCGTTTGGCGATGCGCGGTACAAGTGGGACCGCGACCTCCAGGGCAGGCTCTACGACGCCTTCCTGCCCG